TATATATATATATATATATATATATAAATTTTAAATAAAATGCTGCATTTAAAACGAGTATAATATAATTTAAAAATGATTACATTAAAACAAAAACTACGAAGCTCACATTGAACAGTAAGCAATATACACAGTAAGCAATAATGTGAACCTAAAAGCGAATGACTTCATGCAAATCGCTCTAGCTCGATCTTTCATTAACTTCTGCTCATCGAATGAAGCAAAGGTGCATTCAACCTATTTTCGTTGCGAATTAATTAGAAACGAATAAAAATGAATAAAGAAGTGGATGAATGAAAATCATGGAATGCACTCATTCAACTCACAAATAAATATAAAATTGCTCTGCAGCATGAGAAATTTTTGAATTCTTTTGCATAACAACAACTGCTGTATCATGCAAAAACTGAAAAAATAATCTGGAGCATATCGATAGAATGAATCGGTAAATGCACATAACATGTAAAGAGAAAAACAGATGATAAATGATACAGTCCTCGATTAATACTTTCGAATCACTGAAAATAAGACGATCAACCTTAAAATGCGAACAGTGTAACACCAACGAAAGTTTTCTCTTGTTGATCATCTAAATGAATGTCAGCATTAACTTAGCACATCCTTCTGAAACATACATATAATGAATTCTCCAACGACAACATTCATTCTGGTTATGTATACAACCATTTTAAAACAAATTTTCACTTTGTTCAAAACATTAAATATGCATACAACTTCGTTCACCCAAAACGATCAGCACCCAAATTTATGGTAGCCAAAATCGCATCACTTAAATCAGACAGCCAAAGAGTTGGGATCATTCTTCCTGGCGCCAAACAACATATCGAAGTTGTGGTGATCCAGTAATTCGAAAAAATTCCCAAGAATGACCTCTATTGCAACGTTCAGCATTTTTTTGGAAATGCTGAAACTCATCTGGGAGTGCTTGAAAGCCAATGGCCTTCGATGTCGCCAGAAATGAGAATTGTTACGGTGAGAAAGGTAATTAGTCAATAAGTGGCAAAGTTGAATCCGAACGCTCGTCGACTGGTAGTTTTAGATCGATATTAAGTCTCTGCGAAAACAATAAAGACGATTGAAGAATTTTCACCAAATTAGGCTCTTTATCTCATCAGTAAATTTTCGATAATTCTTGGACCAACTATAATATAAATAATTACCAAATTCTTTAAAATTAAGAATCTAGCGAGATGTAACTTCTCCGGGTTTTTGGATGCAGATCTGTTAAAGGCTGGGGATATGTTAAGGGCGTGGGAAGGGAATGCTTGACGATCTTTATAGGAAAGAAGATTTTCCTGTAAAAAGATCTTTTTACTCTTTTCTAACCATCCAACAAAATATTTATTTGCTCAGCAGGCGAAAAAAAAGCATAAATGAGGCTATTGAGTTGTTGAATTAACAACTACATTGGTTCATATCAATTTGAAGAATCCCATTTAAGCATATTTTCAAAAGAAAAATGTAGGTTCGTGCACGAATTGAGGGCGAACATGATTGAGGGGAAGTGTAATCAACAGAAGGCATTCACTAAGCAGAGCATTTTCTCTGACAAGAATTTTTTTGTTGGAGGAGAATCTCTGCAAGATGGGAATTGGCAGTGGGAACGTGCCAGGAAGTATGGTCTACACGTCCTCCTTCCCCTATAAAAAGTTTACGCATTTAATTAATGCACCAACTCCTAATTTTTTGCCGAGAAAACACCCAGACGGTCCTTCAAACTGATACAACCTGGTGGAGATGATGATTCGTTTACTCAGTAGCCTTATCTGCTCATGTTTTTGCGTAGGGAATCTACTTCTTTTCCCTGGATAGATTTCCGGCCTTGAAAGGATCCGCATATATTTAAAAACGGAAAAACTACATCTTTTTGGGTTCTTATTCAAGTACACAAACGCTAAATGCAGAAACGAAAAGCTGCAATCGTGAATAACAACAAAAACAAGTAAACAAAAACTTAACATTTCAGACCGTTCAAACGAGTACTGCACGAAATTTTCAGCAGTTGAGAGTCAATTAATCAATCAAATAACAATTAATCAATCAAATAATCACGAAATTAATGTTCAACAAGATCCACTTAATTGGTCAATATGCCGCAATCAAAATAAAATTTGTTGCGATAAATCGATGGAATTTGATAAGACAACGAAAATAGCGAAATGAATCGATAGACAATTCAGTGGATTTGTATCGACAAATGTTCTTTACGGCATAATGCAACTCACGAGCTGCTCGATATTCAAAGCATTGTTGAAGAGCTCATAAAAAGGATTTTGAGGGTGAGGGACGCGAAGATTATGGAAAACCACAAGGAGTGTCTTGTTTTGCGTCGTTTCGAACACATTGGTCGGAGTACAATTTCATCGTCCAATTTTGACGTCCATTAATTTTTTGCTGTGGTTTGTTGATATTTTTGCTTGTTTACTTGTTTGTTGTTTATCGAAAAATGAATAAGCGCTTAGAATCGCTCTCCGATAAGCATCTATCATTATTGTAGTAACATGAAGTCGAACTATGAAATGATCATGAGTACGTCGCTGAATTCAAACATTTGAATCGTCGCCCAAAACAGAAACATTTTCTGCAAAGCGTGTCTTCTTGTTTGAGCTTGTCCTGCGTGGGAGGCGCTCATTTTCGTTGATTTCATCTGAAAGCCAAGTTAACTCTTTTTTTCAGACTTGATGCATGCCTTGAGACGCAGAAGTAAAAACACAGAAGATGATCGTTATATGCGAATATTGCTAAATTCAAATTGAAGTCACATTTTTTTTAAAGTCATATATTTGGGGCACGTTGGCTGATGTGTGCACTTTTTTAAAAAGAACATCAGAGAATTTGAATGACTTATCGAAATGTAGTACAATATGACGCAACTATCTGCCAGTAGCAATATGCTGATTATGCCAGTAATTTCGATAATGAGAAACAGTTGAACTAATGAATGCTAGAATGTCCAATTGCAAAATCAGATCGGTTGGGAGATGAATTAGAGTTTATTAAATTAATGGGCATTTGCTGATGGTTTGCGATCAACTAAAGCAAGATGACGAGATAAAAGGGGAATCATGATTAGTATTGATTTGACTGAAGTGGGTCGTTTTTGAACGGTAGTTTATTGGAAGCGATCATGAATGAATGAATGCACTCACCGCTGAGATCGTCACTATTATTGGCTGAGCAAGATGCATTCTTTCGAGGACAAACATCTTCTTGTAGTTCCCCTTGTTGACAACAGCTCGGTTGTTGTTGTTGTTCGTGGTCCGGTGCATCATGGTTGGCATTCGATAAGGAATCGTCTTTATTATCGTCTCCAATCGAGAAAATGGATTGTCTACGATCATTTTGATGCTCAAGAATATCAATACTGATACGTCTAGCTTCAATTATCGACACGGCCGTACTGAAGCGTGTCTTTTTGCTATCACGTCGCATTACCACGCCATCTTTGTAAACCAACTCAATATCATCCACTTCATTTACATCTTTCTTCGAATTTGCGCATGATAATGATTTACCGCTTTTATTATCTCTGCTACTGTTGCCTTTTTTGGTGAATCGATCTGGTATCTTACCTGAAATACATTGTCATCTGTTAAGATCTGTTCTAGAGCACTTCTTTTGCGAAAATTAATCTTTCAAGCTCATGCAACTGAGTCAACAGGTTAACTTATTCAAACTCATAATGATAGATATCAGTCCTTGTGTATGCACTTCACTGAAGTTTTACATTTGAATCTAGCAGCGTAAACAGAATTTCCTCATGACAAGAGGTTTCAGCATATGGAGTCCTTATGATACGACAAGTTCCACTTAAAAAAAACACATTGAAACAAAGTAATCGATCATTTTTGGGTTCAGTTATCCACAAGAGGCTTTATTTGAAGTGAACGTGACGTTCAGTTGTGTTATAAGTTATGAAAGTGCTAATTTCAAGGAGCAAGCGTTGGGTTCACCTCTCGATTCTTCGGGTCCACAGCAACATGCACAAAGTAGAAGAGCACATAAGCCGACAGGAATCATCGCAATTGAGAGTGGAATTAAGACCTGAAATGATGAAACGAATCTTGTTTCAAAAGCAATGTTCCTTATGAAGTCCTCAATGAAATTCGTTTCAAAACGATACACCCAAAAGAGAAGTGAAATCAGTAATTTATTTTCTATTTAGGCTTTTTCATGCTCATGGGCACTCAATGGAAAATCCTAGATTGCTTTGTGTGATACGTGTATTGATATCTCACAAATTCTACGGATGTGGAGGGACCAGTAGTCATTCAGAATAAATTCATCACATCTACAGTATTTTTCGGAAATGTTTCACTTGATCAAATAAGTTACCATTTCGAGTTGAAATTGTACGCAACTGCGTTGTTCTATTGTTGATGCCCGTTTTGTGCGATTGCTGCCCGTTAACGCGCTGTCGAAATCAGTAGATGCATCGCTGAAAAGATGTCAAGCTCCGAGTTTTGATAGTGTCATGTATGAATTTTGATAATTTCGAATAATGCACAAAATCTGAACTTTCATCAAGCATAGAGTTCAGTTCAAAAGCAAGCATTTTCTTCGTTTTCATATATCTTGCCAGATCCCACTGGATACAACGCCAAGTTCTCATGCTTAATTCCCAAGAAAATTTAGTTAAATTGTGTTTTTTACAGCATTTTTCCATATCGATGGAAATATCAAGAAAATCAGAATGCAACGATCTGTTCGCAATTGGTGAGCAGTGTAAAACCATTACGAGCATAATGTGAAGTGAAATGTCAATTAGATACTTAACGATGAAATGATTTCTTAAAAGTGCACTCTACACAACGCTGAATACTGCAGACATTTGCTTTTTTCGTCATTTCCGCTGAAACATTTTTCGGTTAAACTATCGTAATTTCGTTCTGCTGCTCTTTAGACACGGCAAATAAGCAAATAAGTAAAGATCCAGGACGAAAAGTAAGATCAGTAACGGCAAGAGGATAAAGAAATTACTGTTGAGAAGGAGAGACAGTAGAATAGTGAGAGAAACTTAGCGCCGCCTTGTGAATGAAAAAGTTAATTGTGACTGTGTCTTAATTGGTATCGAGTGAGTGTGTATCTTTTAAAACATAGAAGCGATAAATATTATTCTAATTGCGTTCATCTTGAAGAATTCTTTTTTTTGTGTAAAATTTATCATGATGACACTGATTTCTTCAGTGATATTCAATGTCCTTCGACGGAATCATAGCACTACTAGTCTGAAGATCGGAACAGTGATCGGATTACATAATGCAAACATTTCAAGCTTCAAAATGAATGATCTTGATCGTTTACGTTCTAATCAAATCAACTCAACCATTCATTCATCTTCAGCATAGACTTTCATATTACAAAATTATGAATCATACGAGTTCCCTCCTTCAGAAGGACGTTGTTATGCCGTTATGTTATCGCCATATTGACGCGAAATATGGCATAATTGTGCACTGTTTTTCAAAGTAATTGTTCAGGCTTTCACCGATTCAAGCTCAGTCTCGGATGTTTTCGTGTACAAAAAAATGAACTAAAGTTTGAGCGGAACGTACAAACAATGAAATGATATTTATGTGCAATTGATGCGATATTTTGTGATTTCTTCAAACGAAAAGCAATTGCGGCATCAAATTGGTGAATAGCATTTTGATTTGTTGAAACTGCTACGACGAATAATACTGAAAGATAGCACACATTAGAAAATAACCAGCTGGAAAAACAGCAACTTACTCAGTATTGTTGCATGCACCATTCGTACACGTACGACAAACGGCCGGAGCCGCATTCGATGAGCAAAAAAATACTACTGTCATTGCGGTGATTAAGAACACGAATCGTAAGCAGCACTCACTGGACATCGTTGTTTCTCCTTTTATTTCTGGGTAGAATTCGTTCACAGCTGAACACGAATGAGTAATTGTGATAAATGGAACGAACGACATGAACAGAACGCAATAGCGAACGCTAATTTTATCCGTTGACCGTTTATTGAAAAAAAAATCCTCCTACAAATATTCCGCACTGAAAACAAAAAGCAACACGGGGTGCGATAAGATGACGATTAAATGCTTCTTCAGTCCAATTCAATACTTGCAATCGCAATTAAGTTTCTGTCACAGCGATAATCACTGATCCTTTGCTTTTGACTAAACCAGTCATTTTTCGAGCTTTTGATTTCTTCAGAACGTTAACAAAACAGCTATACGATTATTTAAATTTCAAAGGAAGTGCACCTTCAGGGTCACGTATTCTCATTAAAGTGGCTCAAACGGAGCAAATTTTTTCTGCGAATATTCTGAATGAAATTACAAAACAAACAAAAATTTTCAATATCCGCTTGGTCATTTCTAATTTAGATTGACGTAACATAGAAGTGATAACGCTTGAAACTATCCTTTTTTTCTTCCATCCTCTTCACTCACTACTTTCTCTGTTTGTTCCTTTCCAATGGATAATACTCCTCAGAGGAAGAATGGACAAGTTACGTTATTGCTGACGATTATCTTTACTGTGAAAATCATCACTTCTATCATCATGAATGATGATAATTTCAGCATTTATTATTGGCGCTTTCTCGGTACTAACCATATTTTGACATCGGCGTGATTTGAAAACGCTCTTCGAAGAAGCTGGATGTACTCGCGAGATAACAGAATGAGAGCAAAAAAACATGAACAGTTCAGCTACGAATAGTTTCTATGACAGATGCAGCCTAATCCCATTCTTATCAGTTGATTGAAGTTAGACAGTTTGGAAGACTGCAAGGGAACTTTGTTTACACAAGCCAGTATAATTGCTTGGGCGAGTTAATGCTCATCTTATTCGATTCCGGATTTTTTCTTCAACGCATTTCGATTAAGCCAACTCACGGAATCCAGTGCAATTTCAAAAGTTGAACGCTTGGAATTATATGAAGAATACTATATGGTTTGTTCGTTTGATCGCAAAATAATTTCAATGAAGTGATTACTGTAGTGCTATCAAGTTGCTTCGACAGCAACTCCGACGTGCACTAGTGCTAGCAGTGAGCAATAACAATATCTACGAATGACGATAAAAAATAAGCAAACGCAATAACGCGTGGCCATAATACAAGCACACCGATCGTTAAAACGCCAAGCCGACTTCAAGACTACTAACTTGTGATAGTAGGTTGTCGAAAGTTGTCGTGTATAGGTGAATAAAGGAAAAACAGAGAATTAGATGTGATGTATTGTATTGTACTAAACCACAAACTAACCTACCAATCTACCATTTTAATAATTTATTTCACCTCTTCTCAATTCGCTCCTTTCACGATTCATTCATTTTTCTCAACTTCTTTCTACCATTTCCCTTCTCTGTTTCAATCTATAATAAAGACGTTTGAAATGTGTCATTGAGAATGGAATTATATGAAGAATGATGATCAATGAGGCAAACCAAAACGCACGCAGACAGACTGTCGACATTTAACATTCAACCAAGAAAATTAAGGATATAATTAACAAATGATGTGCATAACAAATTGATGTTACTGTTGGCTATTCTATTAGACCAATTTCTTGTATGATTAATGCATTCGTAAATATACCAGAGAACTTCTTTTGGAACCAATTTATGAGCATAGTCTAACTTATGACAGAGTAACTTCTTCATTTTTAGTAAGTGCTTTTGAGCTGGTCTAACATTAATCTCATGAATTCAAACCATCATTTTACAATAATGCGATTCATCATTCTAATCCAAAGCAAATAATTTCACGTTACGAAGAATAAGGCTAAGAAATGCCTGATACATCACTGAACGTTCATACACTCGTTTTCATCACAAAACCGGTTTTTCAACAAACAGAACATCGCATAAATTTCATTTCTTGATCATTCATTGAACCCAGCTTACATGATTCGTAATAATAATTATGATTATTATTATTGATATTATTACTTATTATTATTTATGATTGTTGATTAATATTATTATTAACAACGTGATTATTTGAAATCATACACTAATTATCGCAGATGAAAGAACGAAGAAGTTAGCATGAAGCCTTCATTGTCATGTTACTGAGTGATAATAACTTAATGAACAAACAAAGGAATAAATCAGTCAATGAAGTGATTGGATCAACAGATCAACTCACTCAGCGATATACTTCAATACAACTGCAATAAACACCATACTTCGTGAATGTCATTTTTCGCTTGTAGACAAACATTACGAGAACATAATGTAAGTGCTCCAAAGTCAATTTCATATTCCATTAAAAAAAGCATTTAGCAATATCTAATTATCCACAAAACAGTAATCCTAATGCTCCTCTGAAATAACCGACAGTATATAAATAAAAAATGAATAAGATTAGAGGCAATTTTCCACCTTCTAGACTGGTGAATGCTGAAAGCATCTTCTCGTTTGGAAAAAAAAAAGATATTAAAGCGGCCGTTTAAAACTGATTCTTATATTCGAGTCCAGACATGTTATATCTAGGACCGTAAGTATATCTACAACGCTTATCATCGTTATCTGTACCGATATATTGTTTTAAAATCGTTATAATCTTTAATATTGCTATTATTATGAGATTCCAATGTGAACAAAAGTTTGGCAAACGTCTATGAGAAAACGACATAATAAAGTGAACTTTGAAGTTGGAGTGATTACAAAGGTATGCGTATGTGATTTGAATGAATTCGTAATATATGTATATGCATTTGTTGATAACGATCTGATAGATTGACAGAGACGTGGTAAGTGAAGAACTGTTGAATGATGAATAACTTTGGGAAATATTTCAACTGACAAAGAATAATGTTCGGAAATTTATTTTGGTGAATGGCTGAAATAGACTGAAAAAGAGTTGGTTGATCAAGAAACGCGCTGTGTTCCCTTTTTTGTTCCTGTTGAGGGGTTTCTTCAATTAATTTCTATTAAAATTTCACAGATTCCGTTACTTTCATCAACTATATATGACATAATTATGAGTTCAGGTGGCTTTTAAAAAAAGGTAACTAATGATTAAGTGAATAATTTAGAGAGTAACGATGAAAGAATGTTCCTTATATGATGGATCACATTTTACGAGAGAAACGGCCGCGGCAAATGCATGGCAATATGATAGTGATTGAACTCAAGAACACTTTATTTGGATATTGATACGAAATCATGCTATTTTAATTCTTGATTCACTGAACACTGATGATGGCTTATTTAGAGTCTGACGGAAGAAGTGTCAGTTACGATTTACTGCATGGAATCTTATAGAGCACTCATTAAGTAAGCCAAATTTTCTGATTGTGAATAAATTTCAAGGCCAAATTTCGAGAAAATTTCTGAACAAATTTTTATGAATAATGCCATTTATGAATAGACACAAATAAAAAATGCACTCAATGCTTACAGTATTCATTGTCAGTGTTCAGTATCCAATTGTCGAATGGATATCAAAAAATATGATAATAATCATCTATTTTTTGCACTAATTTCAAGTAGCCCCTGAGAAAAAAGGTTTTTCTGTTGGCTGCATTGTTTTTTTGAATACTAAACTGTTCTGAATCTGATATCAACACTTTTCAGAACAAAAGCAATGAAGAAAATCAAATTTTTGTTCTCTGTTAGTCTCTTCATGCTTTTCTCCATTTATTCAAATATTTCTCTGAACAAATGAACGGAAAAAAAGCTGCAGAAACGAGATTTGAGATGGCATTCATTCATTATCAATGTACCAAAAAAATACCAACGGAAACAAACAATCCACGCTTACCATTTTGTACGAAAAGATGGATACATCTCAAAATTTTCGTGACAAACGATCAGTTGCTCATGCTGATGATTCAATTGATCATATTATTTCAATAAATATGCAATAAACTGTTTCAAGTGGTTTGCACTCGATTGCGCATTTATTGACCAATGGATGAAAAACGAAAAAAGTGAAAATTGATTGCAAAAACGGAAACGTGAAAAAAAAACGGAACGACTTTGATTCCAATTATATACAAACCACACCAACGACTGATTTAACAGATGGCAATTACTGGAGTGATATGTTCGGGAGATTACTTCATCCTTCCAAAGCAATCATAATCAGGTTCACTTTCCGGCTGTCCTAGTGAAGTAGTGAACTCATAGTACTAATATGGGTAACAATTAGGAATAGCAGTGGTGTTAGTTGTTTCTGTGAATTTATGAAAAACAATAATAGGAGTGAACAGCTATCGCATTCTTGGAAGTGAATAAAAGTTATTGTTGCATTATTACGACATCATATTATATAATCGTTGAGTAATTGAAAGTAAAACTAAACCGGTTTTTGATGCGCATTTTGCAGATGTGTGCACATTGGAAATAATCATTCACGATGCAGCATTAATAAGGAATCATTTGAATAAGCACTTTGCTGCACTTCAAAAGGAACCAACCAACTCAACTTTTCACAAACATTATTCAATTCAAATAACGGTCGATCATAACTCTTCAACTGACCAACAGACCACTAATTACAGAGAGTAACAAGTATAGAAAGTACTGCAATAGCTGAGATATTCTCAGCAGTTCTTTGACTGAGCATGCTAAATGAAAAGAGATTACGTAATACTATCAAGCAGAGCCAATCAAAGATGGTCAGTCAAATGTATGACAATTTATTCACGATCAAATGAACTTATTCGAGGATTTCACCGTTGTACTTTTGCGTTCACTGATCAAAACGAAACCAGCGGTGAACATGTCTGATCAACGCTCAACTCTAACTTTACTTCCAACTCAAATTTTTGAATTCGTTCATTGATTTTGAAAAAATACTTCTCCTTCTTCCCCCTCTCTTTGCTGAACGATTCTTCGTTTGCTCATCATCACCATTATCAGGATTATTTGTCATTTCAAAATTCATTCCGAACTAAAGTTCTCCTTAAAAAACCATTATTAACAATAAGATGAACACGTCATCAAAACTGCTCTTTAATGTCCGTCTCTATCACGAACTACACAAAGTTGAAAATAATAATGATATATTTGAGTGCAGTGCACAATTGATAAGATTTGAAGTAATATTTTATAAATGATGGGCGCGGAACGAATTAAGTTAGCAAATGTGTCATCGTGCAATCTTTGTTGCATTGAATATTCGAAGAGCTAATCATCAAATACATTCACCGTTAATCTATCGAAGAAACTTCAACGGAATCATAGGAGTTCATAAATGAAAGACGACGTAGTGTAAGCGATAATGATGTTACTGATAACGGATAGTGGTGAACTGCAAAAGAATGAACCACTGGACTATGAGATTAGAGTTATTTTGCATAAAATCTCTTCTATTCCACTCTCTCCAAATTAAAAATAACTGGATTTGAATCCATTCGAATGTGTTAATTAGCAATGAACGTTCATGTGCAACTCTCATTTCAAATGAATTTCGAAACTGGTTGATTTAATATAACAAGTTGTTGCATTGCGTGAACTCTTGATGTGAATTGCCAATGCGAGATAATATCAAAGGAGCTAGATTACACACCAATATCTTATAAAGCGACTAATGAAAATACGAAGAAAGCAATATAAATGAAAGTATCATATTTGCTGATTCGTAAAAACATTAAGCACCATAATCATTTCCATCAACACTTAATAATTTAACGATCAGTTCTGTTGATTCATCATGGCCTTGTTGCGGTCTCCTTCACCATCTCATCAACGCAACGTTATTTATATTTGTCATTTCACCTTCAGATCGTTCACTGACTGCTGTTGCACATGAAGAAGTTTGCTTTACAACGCCAGCAATCGTTCCAGTTGTTAGTGGAGGAAATTTCTTCCAAAAACTCAGACAAAACAACCTAAATCTTTTATAGATGTTTCATTTAACAAATAATAGCACTCTCACAAACGATCACCCCTAAAAAGATGAAATACGGTAATCAACAACGCTAGAACAAGCACAGTGACTGATTCTATTTTCTCGTGTACTGAATGAATGATACTTGCTTGTCAATTGTCAAGTATTGTTAATTGGTCTAGTGCGATTGCAATAGCAGAAATCAGAACATAGCACTTGAATACTCTCGAAAAAAATTGTCTACATCACTATAGGATGAAAGTTTTCAATTGAAGGGCACTTAAGAACTAGGAATAATTTCAAGACGAGTCATTATCACCCTACCGGAGCTAACAATTATACAACCTAAGAGGATCTATAACCTTCAAATCGAGCTTAGCCATAATTTATTCATTCAGTTTGTTTCGTCATTCGTGTTAAGTGTTCAGCGTATTGCATGCACGTTACTGATTCAATAACATCACTACATAAAGAATGCACATGTGATGGTAATGCCATAAGAACTTTTTGCTATCGTTTAGTCGCTATGATGCAAATAAATCGCATTTGAAAACACCAGTGAAATTGGTCGACAAAGAAACTTGTTCCAGCAAACTCTGAACCCATTTGGATGATGTCGTTGTAATATCGTTTCACACGAATCTTAGGAACAAACATATTTCATTACGATGACGTTGTGACTCTCTTTTAAGCACTAAATTCAATCATTCCATTTGAATGATTTTTGTTGAGTTGTTTACAAACGATGTATAAGGTAAGTCCCTCGTACATAACTGACCAAGCATCTGTAGTTGGAGTGAGGTAATAAACGAACGATTTCTTGTTCTCAGCATGAACGAATTCGTTGCTACCACTATTCTCTTATCACATTCTCAGCTTTGAAGTTACGAAAATTCAACGAGCGCAATCCCTTTACATTATTCATATTAGGTGAGCTATGGAGGTTTGGCCTTTGGAAATCTCGCTCTGGGTGAAATACCCAAGAGGTCAATTATAACTGGCCGCGGATCTTCCAGAGACGAAACTTTCGGGACGAACTACTGAGGGGTGAAACTTCTGTAACCCACATCAGGATATGGATGGCTTTATTCTATGTATAGATTCATGTTCAATAATGACGTATTGCTTGATAATAGAACTTTCTGAAAGGGGTTCTCAAACTTTTAAAAGATCAGATAGAAGATTAACAACTGCAATGTGAATAAATTGCGATTTATTTGAATACACACTTAAAAAGAGCGAATTTTAAGTTTTCAAAAACAATGTGACTTAACTCATTTCTTTGCGAAAAGAGTGACCGTGAATGAACAAACCTTTACAGTACTCCCTTTCAATTGTTATTCAAATGATTCACTTTAAACTGGAATCGATCAACCCCAACAAAAGTACATGAATTGGAACAAAACTGTCAAAATGAACGAAAAATCTAAATTGAGGTAGACAAAAATTATACAACAATCGTTAAAAACAACACAATCAGCTCGTCACCAATCGAAGTCAACCACTGTTTTCACAACTGTTCTCTCGCGTTCAAGGTCACAAGCTTCGTACATACGCATTACTCTATCTAAAATCAATCGATTCAGCTCGAGAAAAATCATTAGAAGAGCTGAAGAAAAAGATACAATCTGATAATCGAATAAAACAATTCCGTCTTTAGTTGGAAGAGAAGGAACTTAGAAGCAAACAGAAATGTTATTTGAAGTTCTAACCTTTCTAATCTGTTGGTCGTGAACATAAATTATTTACTAGTAATGACAAGTCTATAGTTTACCACCATTCAGAACCACTTCGATATCCTTCACCATTTTTTTAGGATTCGTCTGAGGGCCATATCTTTTCACCTGTTGTGCAATTATTTCAATTTTGATGGCTTTTCCACCTATCATCTATCGAAACCAATTCGCTGATATAAACAACTCGCTCAATCGTTTTTCGTCGCCTTTTATAATAACAAATACAGTTGTGATTTCAAAAACCTATACCAAGACAGTAAATCACAAGAAAATTTCTTCAAAATAATAGTTGGTTCGAAATTATTATTGAAATTTTCACACTATCAAATTTTGCACGATCAATGTGCTGAGTATGCGTAATGAATTGATTAGAAATAAGCAGAAAACAACCAAAAAGAATTATGCACACTGACCACATGACCCTCTTTATCAACCAAGAACTTTGTGAAGTTCCATTTAATCGAATTGGTTAGTGTTCCGCCTTGTTCAGCCTTCAAAAACTTGTACAACGGATGCGCATTCTCACCATTCACATCGATCTTCGCAAACAAATCCGGTTCAAATGCGTACTTCTTATTGACAAATTCTTTAATATCCAGTTCACATCCAGGCTCCTTAAAAACAGCGAAATAAAGCCATTTTAAAAGTGAGAGTGGAATTTTGATGTAGAAGTGATTACCTGATTGCCAAATTGATTGCATGGAAATGCGGCAACTCGAAGTCCTGAGTCACGGTATTTTTCAAGCACTTCTTTGAGTTCAGTATAGTTCGAGTTAGTGAGGCCACAGTCAGACGCCACATTCACTATGATAAGCGTATGACCCCTTGGAAAATATTATACATAGCGAAATAAGCAGAAAGGTGTCACGATTCAGAATCGTTATTATTAGAATACTACAATTATTCAGTTTCACGAGAACAGAGGTTCTTCACTGAAATAACACGAACAATTTCAACTGACTACTAACGAATTGAAATGCACAAAGAAGATGAGATAGGAAACGAATAACTAAAATGTTTCACTTGTATTTATTCATTGAAACAACGTTCCCATCGACGTCTTTTGCGCTGAATTCATGAACTGTATTCGAAGACATCGCTCTTGCAGCAGTGACAGTCAACACACCAATACCCATTCCAATACCGCTCAATCTTGCAAGCATATTTCGTTGCTTTCCACTCTGAAACGACTAACCCAATGCAGCAAAACAAATCAAATTAAAATGCTCTCCTAAACTATCACATTAAACGAGCGCTTATCGTCATCTGAAATCATTGATTAAAAGTGAATTCATTCATACATCGATTGAATACAGCTGACTTATATGAGATCGTAATTAACGCGATATTCAATATATTGTTGCAGACAAAATTAAACATCACGGAAGATCTGCGTGGTCAAAATATTTAATCTCTGAAGATCAAGTACATATCATGAAAAGATCAACAACGCCTTCGACGACAAAATAACAAACAGATCAACAACAATACAATCCTCAATTACAACAATAACAACGGTACAATTCTCAATAACAGCGATGAAACAAAAGAATAATCAGTGTAACGCCAAATATTTAGTCAGTTGTTTTTGACGACTCAGTCGACTTCTTTTCTTGGCAATCTCGACTCCTCCTATTTTAGCACTTCTTTTCTTTGAAACTTTCTGAAACTGAATATTTTGTTGTGACAATAACACAAACTATGCAGAAAGAATCACAATTTGAGTTGACAGCATTCTAAAAGACGGAATCAAAATGAAATTTATGCGGTTGAGCAGGAATTATCGTGGAGAGTTTTTCAAACCTTATCTGTTGTTTCTTCCGGTCGCCTGATTTTCATATGTTTTTTATCATTCTTCAAGTTACGATGCCGGTTTTTCGGTCCCATACGAGATGGCAATGGTTTTTGCCCTCCAATTGACATTTCACTCTTCGTTTTTTCAACGTCGATTCGAGTTTTCTCGCTTATTTCGTCTCCGTTCTTCACTTCCTTCGTTAACTTTTCTTTGCTTTTCACCAAACGCGATTCGCGTAACTTCAGCGCTGCTAAATTCTCAATTGAGAATTCCGCTATCGGTCTCTGCATAAAAAAGCACTTCATGAAGGCAGCGGAAAAAAAAGTAAACAGAAATAGGCAATTATGCACGACATTAACAAAAAAAAAAGAGAAATACTTGAAAGAAAAACAGACAAATGAATACCTTTTCATTAGTGAACGTTTCCGGGTTGTTATTGAGATTTCTGAGTGCGGCCAATGCGTCTTTGTGCTCCGAAAAAGCAACAAAACCGAAGCCACGCGATTTACCGAGGCCCTTCCCATCCAAGCGTTCATTATTACGCCATATACGGCACTAAAATACTTAATGTTTCCATATATGTCTTTTTCAAGCATTCCTCTCAAAAAACAATCACAGAAGAAATCAACCTCAGTTATTTTTGCATCGGCATTACCAGCAGCGAGAAAGCAAATCGATCGAAACGCTTTATCGCTCAATGACGTCGGTAGGTTGTGAACAACTAAACGCACTGGCGAAACAAACCTGAAAACATCATTCGATTCTGATGATTCAAAAGTGAAAAAAACATCTGGAAATGTAATCGAAAGAACAGATAGATAATGTCAACCATTATTCAGTACATTTGAAGCAGCGAATAAATTTTTCCTGTACCAAATGGTTGCTTACAGATTTGAAGAAAAAACAATTCAATCGCGTCCCAGCTTGACTTGAACTAAGCAGCACTCACATGTGTAAATTTCGGAGTTTTTCCTTGGCGGTAAGCGCGAGTTTCGCACGTTTCTTTGCATCCGTCTCACTCATGCCACGTGCAGCTGCTGTACCAGAACGGATAACACCAACACGTAGCAAATGCAGATTGCGTTTATCTTTGGGTTGTTTCCTCAACTTTTCCTGGAAAACGATTGTCACTCAACTGATAGATGCATACTCGACAGAAGATCAAACGAACAATTATGTACCGCTGCTTTAGAGGGAATAACTTAAACTGGAGCGAATATTGGTGCAAATGTGAAATTAAAGGATTGATGTTTGAAGAAAGCATAACCTTTTCAATCGCAGCTGCATCATCTCTTGGCAGCGCGCGATGCGCGTAAATACGTCGATTGTCAATTACGATACCTGGATCCTTCAATTGAGAGGATAGTCACTGATTAAATGTAAGTGAGCGCAATTGTATGGCACACTTCAATCAAATAAAGCGAAACTAGGTGTACTAGCGAGTTGAGATTCGACATTAACTTTAAACAGAATGTAATCAACCTACAGTCATCCTGCAGGTGATCTCTGTAAGTGTGAAGCAAAACAAGAAAATTAGCCATACACAAAAGCGATAAATGTAACATACTGAGGTAATCGCTTCAAGGCACATATCAGCTTGTTGTTTGGAATTGAAATAAACGAAACCACTACCCTTCGAATGATCGCTATCCGCATACCGACAAATTACAGCCAACTCAATTGTACCAAACTTTTGTAAGGCGTCTTTTAGCATTTCATCAGTCGTCTCGTAAGAGATATTCCTAAAATTCAGCACACAACGAATTTGTTTTGTTCGGTACCGACTTAATGTAAAATATCATGATCGAAGCACGCACACACCTAACAAAAACGACACGTCCCTCTTGAATTGCTTCATTCGGTTTGGTTGTGAGATCGCGTTCCACATCAGTACGCTTCGATGAACGCTTAGAGGAACTGGCTTTGTTTGGAGATGATTCACTGTCACTCAAATCTGACTCACTTTCCTGTTGCTCTTGTTCATCATCTGACTCACTATCGTCATCCGAAGCAGCTTCCTCCTTACTTTCAATCTTTTCAGCATCCACTCCCTTTGATTTCTTCTCTTTTTCTTTCTCTAAAATCGTAATAACTAATGAACATTTGACAAAAAGAGTGGACATCCGCTGAGGACACTTTATTATTTTTTTAAAAACTTTAGTTTTTTTAATTAAAAAAAAGACTGATGAATCGCAAGCAATATCTATCGTTACTTGTGACTGTAAGTGCACCGCACTATGGAAACCAAATGAACGGCAAGAAAATACGTGGACGTATTTTCTTGAGGATTCATTGTCCTCACCTTCATAATTTGCCGTTTCATATGTATCCTTATTAATCGCCCAGTCTATTGCCACTTTTCGTCCGTTCACCTACAACAGCAAATAATTCTCTCATTATGTGCTTTCCAGTCAGTGTTTTATGTCGATAAAACAGTGATACTGACAAAAACGGGAAAAGTAATAAGAATAAATACCACTCGTCATAACCAACCTCAGACAAATTCAAAGACTGCATAAAAGCCTCGGCAGTATCACGAGTTTTGAATTGAACGAACGCAAAACCAGCACATGAATTTGGATATTTGGGATCCTTGCAAGGCGGCAAAACAATTTCGGTGAACGGTCCAAATTTACTACACAGTACTTGTAGATCTTCCTTTTTTGTCTATAACATACAGAACAACGATGAAAAAAGTGGGATACACTGGAAAGCAAAATGAATATTGAATGGTACTATGCTGAAGGCTAAGCAGGAGCAGTTATATTGAAAACGAACGTTGAATGCGAGATTACGGACGACAAGGCGCCATCCCTTGAGTTTTGCATTCTCGAAGTATCTCCGTTTATCAGAATCACCAGGCGCTGATTCGTTTTTCCGACTACTACCCCGTTTACTTCTCGTAACTGCACCATCGCCTCCTTTTTCTTCAGTTTCCTCGTCACTGTCTGCGAATACCAGACGTTCAGCACCTTTCGTCCGTTCTAACATACTGAGAAAAGCTTGCATTTATTGAGCACAAACCAGACGTCACAATAACCCACCAATATCAAACACCAAATTTTGTGATTTTACTTCTGTTAAATCACATTAAAATGCTAATAATAATATTAACATATTTAATGGGAAATTAATATTATTTTAATGGCACATTACTGTCGTTTGATTATTATGATTTCATAACCGACTAGACGAGACACCTGAATCATTGGAGCGAGAGTGGAATCCAACCACTGAATGACTCTCACTCGATCAAATAAAGAGATAAATTCGCAAAATGAGTAAGTCAAAAGAACGGAGTTCAAAAAATAGATCACGATAGATTGGAGCAAAACCGTAAACCAGTCAAAAGACTGACTAGATTAGCGAATTGTTTGGTTTGTTGAAGCAATTTTATTTTTACAAAACGTTCAAGTATTACAAGTGATGAATGACAACTTAAGTAAAGCTTCGAAAGAATAAGTAAATTACAATATACACATGAGAAGCAGCAATCATTCTGTAATTGATTGATAAGACTCATTCTACGCACAGCCATAACTCCGTAATAAACCTCACTGAAATGGAATGGTAATTCATTACTTCTAATGGCCAGCTAAACTTCGGGTACGATATCTCAATCAATAATGATCTTAAGTTGCTTGCAGTAGACATGAAAATTCTTTTTACAAATAGCATCGATGAAAATCAAAAATGATTAAAAATCAACAATGTGCAGACTGTTTACGTTAAAGCGGAAAGAAACTATGCATATTATTTACAGACAACTTGATGCATAGTCGCGTGAATAAATGAATAAATTAACAGATCAGTGACACGAGAAGACGAAAATAAGTTAGGAAAACGAACGTTACTTCATACAAAATACCACTCCTTGTAGTATTTGATTAGCTGTAAATGATTCGAATTGGAAAACAAGAAATAAGACACTTTAAGTTACAAAAAAAAGAAATCAAAAACAGAGATAATGGTAAGTGATGTAATGGTGATAATGGACTGTTCGTTTGCATCCTTCTAAAAACTTTTATTCAAAATCCAAATCCCTATCGTTTTCGTTATATGATTTATCAATCAAAGAGACCACGCAAACAACTTCATATCATTTGGAATAACACAATCCACTATTAAGTTCACTGTGAGTTTACGTTAACCTCATATATTGTTATTATTATACGGCAGTGACCGGGCCCAATTCAGCAGCAAGAGCAGCAGCATGTGCAGCTTTTAATGTATGAGCAGTTTCAGTTGCTTTAAGCACCTTACGAACCGGGCACGCGCCAACGATTGGTGCCATTCGTTTCGTGAATTCGATATAATTTTTTTGAAGCTCGTTCTGGAAATTGTTCAACGAAATGACGAAACGTGCGATGGAGATCAATCACTCAATAAACTTATTCCTTCATCAAAAATTAGCAAAGCAGTTATATTGTCCATAGAAAGATGAGAAAATGAAAAACAAAATGGTCAAAGTCAAAACGTTTTCTTCGAAATTCATTTTTAGAAGTAAAACAACTTGGTTACTTGATAAGCGTGTTGATCGGGCTGTATCAGTTGCTTGTTCTTATGTAGCGCATCGGCACATTTCTTCGAGAAATCTTTGAAAGACAATCGCAACTTATTTTGAAGTTTATCGATCGGCTTTCCGCGATCGTCCAACATTATGCTCGTTAGGAATACGTTTGCAACCTGATTTTGACAAAAAATATATCCTCTCAACAACAGCCGAAAGCGATTATCAAAAATATGAACTGATAGCTATAAAGAAGTAAAATAAAACTGTAAGTGAGCGAGAATATAAATTTTATGTCTAAATTATAATTCTTTCCGCTTGCACATGCTGAGACAACAGAAAATTCAAGGTGAATATTGCAGAGATAGACGACGTTTAGTTGCACATAGCAAATAATATGAACGCATTATTGCGATTATATGATTGTTTCAACGCATAGATACAGCTGGATTATAAATAATAAAAAGAGAAGATTAACACAAAGGAGATTTTTGATGGATGAATGAATTGATACATCGATTTGAGACGACACAGAGTTGCAAATGGAGAAGAGAAGTGAACACGCATGCAAACGCACCTGGACTGGTCCTTGATTGACGGTAGTACCAATACACCCTTGTAAAACCATTTGAAGCATTTTTGCATCTGGTGGCTCTTGCGCAGTTGCTGCAGCCAATTCACGAGTCTTCTTTTGTACATCTTCAATGGCCACCTCAATCGGTGTCAGCACCGTCTGCTCACGATTGATTACTCGTAAACGAGTTTTTACGTATGGAAAACTGTAATTCTCACCATTTGACAACGTTTCAATTAATTCTGTTTATCTTTTCCTACCAGGAACTAATATAATTCAGTCACCACTACGTCATTCGTGTAACGAACGGTACATAGCATACCAGATAACTGTGTACTTTCGTCAGTAACATCACTTGTTTTCATTCAAATAGGTTTGAGCAATTTATGATAAATCTAAACGCTCTAAGGGTGCAATCCTGAAATGTCAGTATACTCACCTATATTGTGTGGTGAGCACAGTACGTCGTTTGTATTGATCATGAAGATCTCCATGTGGCCGTCCATCCTTGGTGAATGGTGTTGCATAGACAAAACGATTCAACTTATGATTACGCTCGAAATGTGTAGCACGTCGACGACGTTCCCATCGTTCCAAATACGGTTCAACGTAGGTAATTTGCAGAAACGCTTTCGATGAATCTAATCCACTTCGTTCAACCTTCAGTGAACACCTTTCATCTTTTATGTTGAAAGGATGGGCAATATTTCATTTCAATTTAACATTTCACTCGCTCATACATATAATGTAACATATCAACGAGAGTAAAAAAAAAGAGAAGAAACAACTAGATTTCATCCAAAACTTACAATATTTGAATCCTTGATGACTTCAACAACGCCTTTACCAAAACGATCAGTATAGAATGCTTCTAGACGATGACTAACTTCAGATAATTTCGTTATCGCAGGTTCTTTGTAAATGAATTCAGCACCATCCAAATCACCGAAACGACTACCATAGAAACCAACACGGAAATACGTCCCGAAACATCGTTTATCCGCACTCAAATTGGATAGAACTTTGGAAAAAAACATTTCCTTTTCAAGTGGAACGATCAAAAACTATTCGTATTCGAAAAGTCGAAAAGAAATTTAAAATAAAACGATATTTTCTTGCTGAATTGCAAATTTGTCGATTATTCCGATTCATTCTTCAACAGAAATGAGCAAGTAAATCATAGTAAACAAAAAAAAAACAAAAAATTAAATTCAGAAATGTTCAATTTTGTGAAAATAACCTTGGTAGGGGTGAATACCACGCATCTGAGATATCTTCAATTAAGGATATCGTAGGTTCAATACGCGATAACGCATCACTCAATCGACTATGAATCCGTGATAAATGTCGATAATTACGATTCTGTTCCAGAATCGGTGTTATTACCTGCAATTATTAGCACTTCAACTTACCCAATATCCAAAAAATGCAAATCAGTCGGCAAAAAATGAATCGATAAACGAATTTATACCCTATAAACGAGTGGCATCATTTCGTACATTTGCGCCTTCTCCATGAATTGTGCCGTCTTTTCGACCAAATGCACCAAACCATTTTCCGTGAAATGGCGACTTTCGCAAATGCCCTCCTCATCGGCACTTCAAAAATAAAAATTTACTTGGATTATATAATCACTGATAATTTGACTTTTATATTCTGCAGTTAGGGATGTTAAAAGATTTTCCCCCATCATTAAATTGGTTCATTTTCTACCAGCTCGAGACTGCCAATAATCAAGGCAGTTAATATCCTCCTCTTATTCTTTTCCTAACAAATATTTGCTTCATTTCAGATACTCAACACGTATTCACAGTTGAATTATGGAGCAAATAAAAACAACAATGAAGACTTCAAACACTTAGACGAAATGAAACAATAAGCTGAGAATACTATAGAACTCTAACCTGATAACATCATCGGACACAGCACTCTCCTCGAGAATGTTGTCAGAGATTTGTGTGAATGCAATTGCACCCTTTGGCAGATACGTTTCGTGATGTTTCATCGAAATATATTCAGCAGCTAATGCGGATGCATGAAGCATACACTCGGCAGCTTCAGCCGCATTCTCTCGTGCCGCATGCTTATTCGCCATGTTTATCAACCACGTCAACCTTCAATTCAAAACTTTGATCGGCATATAAAATCAACAGAACCAGGTCATATGGAAGTCAATGAAATTTAATCAAATCAACAAACAACAGCAAAAATATGCGGAATCCACTAATAACGATTTATTGCACAAGAATATTTTATGACAGAGGCTATGAAAACGATTTCATACATTGACAAGGATAACCATCATTTTAAGGAAAAGACTGCATTGAAGTGGACTGCATGAAAATTCTACTGACTTAAAAAAAGTGACGAAAAATGATCAACTGACCTGAGATCAGGGTTATTTTGATAACCTTTTGCAACTCGATACATCAAATCGATCAACATCTCAAAATCGTTCGTATATTCTTTCATTTTGACCGTATCCGAGAGTATCATATGCAAATTGAATACCAAATCTTTCACCTTCAAAATGTAATATAAACATTTGATTCAATTAAGATGACAACATTGAATCAACTTAAACTTTAACAATCTTTCATTGTATCGACTACAAGCTTGTTTTCCTCAAGAATACACCGAAATACACGAAAGATTTAAATGAACAAGCATCGTACTTGCTCGGAAAAAGTTGTTGAACGAAGTTGCGAATCAGTATTGGCATCTGTTTCTGAATAGGTCAGAACCGTTTTCAAACTTCTTCTCAGACAGTCTTCATTTATCCAATCACCCTGCCTTGTTCCAGTTGACACCAACGTACTAAGTGACATCGTTATTTGCATTTTTACTTTCGAAAAATTTGCACCTGACTCGAAGCTTTGTCGCATTAATAGATACAACGAAGCAGCTGCCTGAAGAAAAATAAATAAACAAGAGTTGAAAAAAAAACTGAAATTTGAAAAACACATTAAAAGGAAGAGCGTACCTGTGAACGAACTGCAGGTAAACGAGACGCACAATGCCGAAGCAGATGTAAACAGAGTTCACCGCATTGCTCAATCTCCTGAAAATTTTTTCATTGAATTCACTCAAAAATGAATCGATCAAAAATTAGTCAGCATGAGAATAGAAATAATCAAATGAACCTGTTCGAACAATAAATCCGGATATTTGATTACCAAAGCTCGCTGACTTGCAAAAATATTCTCAAGACTTTGTACCGATTGACTACATGCAAGCATATGCATCTGAAAATGACAACTATTAAAAAATGAAACCTTATAACAAAAAAAAAAGATTGCAAAAACTAAGAAGTATGGAGGAAAAGTAAAAATTACAAAACGAATACAGATAACAAACGCAAAAGCAAACATTAGAATTTATATCGAAGAAAGCTGTTACAGAATGTTGGTAATACAAAGAAAAGTGCACACATGTGCCTCACAAATGATTTCTGAAACGAATTCGGCGTATTTAGATGAAGGAGAAGAGCAGTAAAGGAAAAAAAGTTGTTAACATACTGAATCGCTCGTTGATATTATCTAATCACAACATTTCATCTAATCTAATTCAAACAAACTCACTCACAAAAATCGCTTTCCATTTTCAGCATGTTATCTCATAACTAATCAACGTAACAGTATGTACTTCATCGACCTATCATTTACGTTCATTCTTCACCCATTCATTATCAAAAAAAACTGACTTAAATGAACTGATGCAGTTGATTGATAACTAATTTTGTAACCCAGTAAAACTGAATGAAGCTAAATAAATATCGCAGATGAAATTAGTAGAATAGGTGGTGAATGAGCACTGGAATTCGTTTCGATTGTAATCCTTCATGAATGCAACAAGAAAATAAGATGGACGGAAGCAAGCAGCAACTTACGAGTACTCTCAAAACAGACGGTAAGACGAAGAAGAGATGATCTGAACCAGGAACGGCTAACACGCGAACCAACAGCTCCAGAGTATCTAGCACTGTTAAAGCAACTTCAGTGCAGAGTGCGGCATCGAGAGCGATCTCCTGCTCGTTCACTGCAGAACAAATGAAATGAAACTAGCATAAACTTTTCAAAACTTACAAAACATACCCACTAAACAAGCACTGGGCGGTTAATGACCGATTCATGGATCAACTATATCATTTTCTAAGAGATGAAAATAAAACTGAAGAATTTCGTTACTTTGCAATGAAACAACATAAAATTTCAAAATTGACTTTTGCCAACTCTGTCTTAACATAACTGAAAAATACAGTTTTATGTTTGATAATAAAAACAAAATCGAAACGTAACATACTTGGTGGCTGTTCATCACTTGAATGACATCCACTACTATATGTATTCGTTTTCCACGAATTTTTGCCGAGTGTTTCTTTACGCCAACGAACGCCATCATAATCCGTACCATAACAACGAGACTTCTTTCGCAGTAATTCTTTTGCTGATGAATTGTTACCGATTATCGCCTCTTCCAATTTATGACGCATCTCATCGCCAGCCGCATCAGTGCTTGTCTTTAGGAAAAGAAACATTAAGTGCTGATCAATTAATCGTACCATGCATCAGCAATGAATAGCGTAAGGCAACAAAGAAATAACCTGTGATAGCGTTGGCCATTTGAATTCAAAGCATGAAACAGCCAGTTGTAAGACGTCCAAAAACTGCAGCAAACGGCTTGGCGATAGTTCACGAATCCAATGACGCAGCGTTGAACGATCCATATTTTTGATGGCCCAACAGAAACATGCCAACAACTGCAAAAAAAGAACGTAAGATAATCGATTATTAAACAACAACAAAGCGAAACAAGATTAAACAATAAATAGATAGATGTACAAATACATAAAAAAACACCTGACGAGTGATTTCCGAGGAAAGTTTCGGTCTGAAAAGTGGAATGCGTGTATGTTCAGTGGGTGGAGAGCACGGCGGTGAACTGCTCAAGCCACCGATTGCCAGCATCACTTTATCACTGATCGTACTATTCACACCACTGCCGTCCATTTCCACCATAAACGATCGACTATAAACAAGAGACAGAAAATGACAACAGTAAAGTGACGAACATTAGACCAATATCTTCGAATTAGCTCGTGATAAACCAATAGACACGACAATAAACTACGAACCTATTCGACACATTCGCATTATTATAACCAATGGTACTACTATTCCTCGACGGAGTAGTGCCTCCTTTTGTATATGGATCATAGAGCTGAACACTTTCATCTAATATTATACCGACCAATGGCAAATATAATGATGCAACTCGTGATTTCACCGTCGAGTCTAGTAAACGTGAATCGGCTTCGTGTGACGATAACAAATTTCTGATCAAACCAACAGCTCTGAAGATATACTACATACAATGCTGCTCCTCTCTCGTTCCTTCGAGAAGACCAAACACAATAACAAAATTGACAATACCTTGAATGGAGTAAACTATTTGGTGTTTCAAGTACGGCTGCCAAATCTGCGAGTGCTAGACCAATAATGAAATGACGAGAGCGAAAATCGGTCGTCAATTCAGCTGATCCTACTGAGCCGTGTGATTCGGCTGCTTGACTTGATGCTCTCAAATTGAGAACTTTTTACTGTATTTCATTTTATTTTAATTTTTAAAAAAAACGTTAATAATTAAATTTCTTAGGATAAACGGATCGACTAATTGATTACCTGCTACTGAGGCTTGAGTTACTGGGGCTGGGCGGTTGCAGCTGTGGTGCGGAACCATGTGCTGAGATAATTTGAGTTGATGATACTCCACTAACGCTATTCGCATCAGACGAACCACTTGACTGCAAAATGATTGATTCAGCGTTGAAATGAACACGTGTCTGTTCGAATGAATCGATATGGCATTATCATTAGACAAATAAAAAGTACAAAACACTGACATGAAATGATCCACCCGAATGACTGCTCACCATACCATATGGCGCTGTCAGTCCCAGCGGTAGATTCAGTATAACAAAATGCTCATGCGATGAGATAATACGCACGAAATCGAGTTTCAGCGACATCAACGTTGTTGTGCATGGCTCAGCTGAGACACTAAACTGAGAATATTTAGAAGAATATATATTCATCACCGGGTCATACTATTCAACTCTGAATGTTTTCCCGATGGAAACTGTGAAAATAAATGGATACACTGCAATGAACAAATACATATAACAATAAGCATAAATATGATATCAAATGAAATAATGAATTGAACCAATTTCGGAAACTCAATTAATCATTTACCTTATTTTTGTTGTTAATTCACGGTTATATTGTTTCACAAGATTCATCACAAACGACCGATCCATTAGCGAAAACGAGTCTCGAAGGAAAAATGCCCATGATGCATTGATAGACTGTGACTGAAAATTGACTGTTAATTTTTGACTGTTTTGTTTTTTGAGTTACTATAGTGAAGGGTAACACCAAATTTTTGTACGTTATGAAAATGGAAACAAGACTGGGAATGACTAGAGTGGTTTATTTGACCGTTACAAAGAACAAAGATCAGGATAATCATTGCTGCTACCTGTCTGGGATCCTTAGAAGTACGCTCTCCGACTTCACGAATCATTGCTTGTGACAACGCACTCAAGTCTTGAATGAATGCATCACTAAAACGTAGTTTTCTTGACAAATACAGACGATTTGATAACGACAAATATTCGGCCATTGATTTCACCTTAACACAAATACCACTCTCAATAACATTAATGTAGCAAATATTTTATGGTAAGTAAAAAAATTGAAACGTTTGTAAACAAAACGTCGATAAGTGAAAAAATCCGAAGATGAGTTTGTTTTCGAAGTATATTTTAGATGACTAATATGCTTATATGTACACTAAACAGTTTAAATAGCAAGATTTTACCATTAATTCAAGGAAGAACCACGCGTTCAGGAACGCCATTTCACGGGCTGCTCCCCCACTCATCACCCATTGAAGTGCCAACTCTTCGTGCATTATCTAAGTTCCAATCTTGCATAATAAGTATCAAGTGAGCAGTGGAAGAAATTAATTTTTCGTCGGTGAAACGAAATAATTTTCATAAACAATGAGTGAAACCAATCATATATAATAATGAATGAACAAATCTCTACCAGGAGAGCGTTAGACATCAATAGATGAACGTTGTCAAAATTGAGAAACTTCAAAAGAAAAGGAAGGAAAAATGCGACAGAAGAAATTGCGAGGAAGAAAATGAATGCGGAAATAGGTGATGGAATCTTGATGTCACCTTTTTAACAGTTCCCTTCTCACCATTTTCACCACTTGCTTTCAAACAATTCGAACGTTCAAAATCTTCTGCAATACATCATAACAACTTTTTTGCTGGAGAAAATGAATTCAGACAATGAATGACAAAAAAATTATCTCATGAATATTAGCAACGACAACAACGAATATCTAATTTTAAAAAGCCAAATAATGACCATCAGTTATTTAACTTGAGTAATTTAAACGTAAAGTGCCGTAAGAATATTGTGTAGTGATCAACAAAAAATCATTTTTATGCTTACTTAGTAAACAAAACAAACTAACTGATGATATCGAATAGATGTTGACTTTCTGGAGAACTCGACGCAGCAGCCGTTCGAAACTGCGCGCTTTCATGACGACTTGGTGCAGGTGGCACATACTGTGGTAAAACGCTCAACTCTAAACACTCTGCTATGAGATATGTGAATTTCAGTTACAAAAAAAAGAGGAAAATAAGCGATCGTAATACCTTTCAATGCAATTTTATGGTAGTGTATGTAGGTAGTAAGCAGTGAGCTACGTCCGTGTGCATCACAGAAGCTGTCCAATAACATCGTACAAATTTTCACTAGTTGCCCCAATACTTCGAAACAGACACCTGATACGGACACTGAACGAAACAGAATAAATCACAGTGAATGAAACACGTAAAATCAAGAACATATTATAATGTCAACACATCCCTCATACCACATCCAGAATGATGAGCAAAAGTTTGAGTGAAAAAAGGTGCTCTAATGATGCAAGAAACTAACCAGAATAAGGTGGATTTGCGATGAGTGCCAACAATTTGTCAAGGATAACGTAAAGAAAGGCCACCATTGGTTCGGGACGTGCCTTTATAACACTACGGATTGCATTCTTCAACTCCGTTTCACCGACTGGAGGGCTCTTCTTATCGGTTGAGCTTAACGATTGATATGCGAATAGAAACGCATCCAAATGTTGATCCTTCAAATCTAGTTTTTTTTTGTTGTGCTGAGAAGAAAACGCTGGTCATAATGAGCGTGATGTGACTAATAAGTCATTAGCTATCAAATTTTTTTCGGACATGGTACATCTTCTTATCATTCACATGGACTGCTGAACCACTTGAGTTGATTTTAAAGATTCGATAAAAGAAAGCTAGTAACAATGACAATAATAAATTTGATGATAATAACTAAGCATAAATGAAAATAAAAAATGACTGAAAACAATAATAGTACTTGAGTATGGACGGTTGTAATGGCTTGAATAGAAACACTGAATAACGGTTTATGAGCATCCAGCCACTTCACATTGGGCAAATTAACGTCAGGTGAAAGATAACCGTAACTGGTCGGCAGTCGTTCCAGTGCAATCGGTAAATTAAATTCACCCGTTTGCAATCTGCCATCTTTATAAAGTGGTACCCACTGCGAAAAATGAACACTTTACAAAACAGATATTCATTTTTTNTTTTTTCACTGGAAAAGACGAATGCTAATCAAACTGTTAAAACGGAAATTGCTGACTTTAGATAAAGCAGTAATAATAACATTGAAGTCCAAACAACTGACCGAATAACCGATAGGTGTTTCGATCTCATCCGATAGTTTATTCTGCTTGCAAGCGATATGATAAAAGGTAAACAACAAATGATGTCCATCATTCAAGTCAACTGGTATCGCGATTTTGATCTCGTCATAAAACGATGGTGTTCTGAAAAGATTCTCTCTCTTTAACCAATTAACGTGAATCTTTAATTGACATTACTACTTGATCAACGAACGAGAGAAACAATGAATCTCTAAGCAAATGTAGAAGGGAATCGAAACAGACTTGTTATGGTATGAAACACAGGTGTTCGCGAATGAGGTCATATCAGAGCAAGTGGACTTGTCGAATATTTGCTGCACTGCTCGTTCGTGCGCATCCATCAGTTCAACACGCACCGATATATTACGACAAGCACCAGATCGATTCGAAAGATTCACAAAACGCGGATAAACATACAATAGGTTCCTTTAAAATCACTACACGGAATTACAATAATAACAACAAGTATTATTATTATTATAAGACAAAAAGAATAAAAAATGAAATCGTTTCAACGTAACATGATCAATCAATACTATTAGCAATATGAACCACTAATTACCTATAACAAGCATTCACAGCATAAATGCCTTTCGATGGGAACTCGGCGATTTCCTTGACGATATAGGATGAATCGCCAGGCATATATGGATGTACATGGAGAAGTTCGGGGGTCAACCTTGAAATTAAGTGACTGAAGAGAGTGAAACCATTCCATGATGTTATAATAGCATTCAACTTTATAATATAATCGTGCAACACAATTAGAACTATATAACGAAAATATGGCAATATATAACCTTCTGCAAACGTTGCTTACCTCATAGGACACTCGTCAATGCCATTTCCTGATATTTCCAACTTAAATTTGGCCGGAAACGCTTTTAAACGGGCCAACTTTGACGCACCTTTCCGACTTTCCACTAACATCTTACACAAATCTTCATCGCTCAAACGATCAGTTTCCTGAAATTATCTTTTAAAATTTCAGGATGAAAGCTGAAGATGTCGAAAAAAAAAACAAACTGTTCCATATGCTGCGATTGAAAAAATTAAAAGGATGAAAAAAAGTATTGAAAATACGTTTTTAATAGATGTGCTGCGCTTAGAAGCTGTCCAATTTTTTTTCAATGGATAAAAAGTTTTAATTAGCACCGCTATTAAATTCATTTGCCGAGTGTCAGTGTTATTATTAATTTTATATAAGGAAAGTTGACCTGTCTGAAGAATGAGTTGAGATCAAGAAGTAAAGGTTGAAGAGATGAAAGGGTGAACGGTAGTTGATTGGTGGTTGCATCTTTACTTGACGAATGTTCATTCGAATCGGTTGCTGGTGTTGCTGTTGCATCAGAAATTTGTGTGGCGAATACTTTACGGTTTTGAGTCGGTGTTCTACATTTCTGTACAGCAGCTAGCATAGTTGTTGATGACGTACCACTGCCAATACGTCGAAATGTGCCGTTCGTGGAAAATGAGGCTCGATCTGCAAACATTTCACCGATAATAAACTGGAACATTTAATTAGACTCATTCAAATAATCATAATGCACTTATTTTTGAGCAGTAAAACCCATTGTTTACCTGCGCTTATGATACTTTCTGTGTCATAGTGCGGTCCGGGCGAGTTGGGTGTGCTGTCCGCACCTGAATAGCGATAATTATAGGCATTATAAATAATGATAATGATGATGATGATGATGATGATGATAATGATAATAATAATAATGATAATAATGAGAAAAGCAATAATAATAACAACAATAGTGACCTTTGAGTTGTTGTGAAGTAGTATTTGTCATAACACTAGCTGACATCAATTCACTTTTCTCAAGAGAAGAAGCACCGCAAAGGATTTTACTCAGATCAATCGCAATCCATCCTAATGGCATACGATAAGCGCCGAGACGTTCGCAATAAAGTTTAGCACCTTGTAATAAACGTTCCTTGTTTCGATCCTCTTTCAAATAAGGATCGCTTGCATCCGCTACTTCACAAGCTTGTAGAACCTTTTCCAGCTGTAAGTATCGCCTTTTTATTCATTGTATTTTTCAACTTTTTTTCTCACAGCAACATTCGCACTGCTCTAGAGCTAGACCGAGTTTCAACGCTGCAGTTGAAATCAGATTTTTTTTTAAAATGCGCAACCAGAAAGAGCCGAAAATTGCACTGCAGCAGACTTCACTTTGAAAATTTGTGTAAAATTCTAGTGAGAAGAAGACTGATATCGCTTACAATTAGATGTGTATAAAAGAGAAGTATTTAGTTTATTGGATGCATAAAAGACGCGATATCATTCCAACACCATCCGTCTACCTCTCTGCACTTATACGTCAAATTTGACCGTTTTGCTGGATGCCCATTCAGTTCAGCTCCAATTCATATATACATTGTATCACTTATCACTGTCAACTATCGGCAATGTGTTCTTCAGAATACAGTGGCCTAGTCAGGAATTTTCTAGGGGGAACCTAAAATGGTTTGGTCCAACAAAAAACAGCTAAACTCTGGAGTGGATTTTTATACTTTATTTTTTGCCTTCTCTCTTTCCTCCTTCTCTCTCCTCCTTCATTTCCCCCTTTCTTCTATCCTGCCCTTGGGTGGGCCATTGTTATTGTGTTATCAATATTATTGTTATTATAGATTATTACATTACTGCACTGAACTATTTCAAAATTGTTGATTTGATAAATTTACTTATTGAATCTATTTAATTGGTGGATCACCAAACTGAATTAAGTTTATTAGATTGAATTATCAACAAGTAAATCTAGTAATTATATGTAATTAAATTTTGTATATCATACGTAAATTTGTTATTTCTCCCTCGTCCGATTATGTATCAGTTTTGCTGTTTTTTCATTCAAAGAAAAACTTCTTTCTCCCCATTTTTTGATCGTAATATATTCGTTGCTAATTTTTACACTCCTCAAGATCGCTTCTGCTACGAAGAAGACTAAATATTGAAGCTGGAGTCATAATCGAAATTTGAAAAAATCTAAACTGATGGAAAACATTAGAAAATTTAGATCCGGAGCTGGAATCGGAGCCGAAATTTCAAAAATATGCAGATGGGGTCAGAGCTGAGATTTTGAAAAATGCGTGGCCGGAGACGAAACGCAAAGCCGGAGCTGGAGCCGAGAATTCAGAAGGTGAAGCCAGAGCTGAAGGTAAGGACATCACTGATCACATTACTAATGACTACAACAATGCACCATTTATTTACCTTGACAACAATGAAAATATTATTCACTGATTGACTTATACTAAATGCGGCTTGTGTACACTTGCTGGCGCTGTCCTCGTGCCCGGCACGTTTTGAGATCATTGCACGTAATATTTCATCATTCACATCGAAATAAAAATTCTCAGATACCTAAAATAAAATTAGAAATTGCTTTAAGAACAATAGTACTTATAATAATAGAAGTAATCACACTTTTAAAGAACTCATGTAAAATTAACAACCAAGCGAATTGGCACTAGAATTGGAACAACACTAATAATTTTATAAAAACTAATAACGGAGTCTTATTTTACTCACCTTTCGTTTCTCTTTCACATCATACAAGGCAATACTACCGAATATCGGTTCAAAATTCGGCTCTAATTCCAACTGAAATTCAACAAACCAATTTTTAAATGCGATAAAATGATGTATGCAAATCAGAGTTCTTATTAAAACAATGTAGTAATTGCTTAAAATGTTATGCGAATTCGAACAGAAGAATCGTCAAAAACTCTCAACGGAAAATATTCGTTAACTGAGTTTCACCTGTAGAACCTTGATGAGTAACTTTTGGCCTGTATATTCGACCGGAAATGGCGGTGGACTACGTCTTTCAATCACCTCGCTCTAAACACACAAAGATGAAGTAGACAAATGAGGATGCGCACTCAGATTCGCAAACATTTTCCACTACTTATGAACATAACAGATCCAATGTAGTGTGTTTGCATGCGATCCCAGTGCCAATCTTACGATTTGGAAAACACGAACGACATTTTATACAAATGTGGTAATATACTCATCTTGAATTGCACATCAATCATTTCTAGTTCACCGAAATTTGTTGTTTATCACCCATGGGGGAATGAATGAACAAAGAAATACATCTTTGCGCCATTTCGGATTTCCTTTTTCAAAAAGCAGCGAACAAAAATCTCATGATGTTATTGTTTCCCAGTGACTCTTGCTTCGTTTTTTTCACCATCATCGCTGATTCGATTTCCGTTTACAATCGTTTTCCAATCTCGGAATTCTCCCAAGATTGGAAAACGATCCCGAGATTGAAAATGGTCAGGAAGTTTGCAAACACTAATCTGATGCCACACCTTCGCAATTTTGCAAACTAAGAATTTTTTTTTTATCGATTGCCAAATAAAACTTATACTTGTCATTCAGATGCTCACTACGATGGAATGTAGTAAAACTGAAATTACTTGGAGTTAAAACTTGGATTTAAAAATTCTTAGATAAAATATACGATTAAATTTACATATGATTCATTTGCCCAACAAAAATGATGATAATAAATAACCTCAGACTGTACAGGTAAAAGATTGATGATCGCATTCTGCCTATTCGTTTGTCGTCTTGTTTCGTTGATTTGATCCAGTTGTGTATTTGAAATACGTTGAATAACACCTTCAATAAAATCAACTTCTAATTGAATCTATTTCATTGTACCTTTGCAGCATTAGCATTTCGTTACGATCATACCTGTGCATATCACGATCATACCTGTGATCATAGATATAACAACGTTGAAAAACAATTAGGGTTCCTCAATCGAGAGTGCTCGCACCCCCAAAGGATGCGAGATAGTATTCCAGAGAGTGCGAGATAAGGTTTTATTTCCTGTACATTAGGGAAGGCAAGAATGGAGTTCAATACATACATGTGTGTAAAGTTGGAGATGATGGACCCTAACATATATATTTTTAAAAGGCTGGCACGTACTCTGATGATATGCACTTATCTAAACTATAGATAGTCATTGTAATGAATGAGTGGATGGATGTTGTGAGCATATTCTAACTATTGTTGTAGGGGGTGCGAGGACATCTTAAAATTTCCTAGAGGGTGTGGGAGGAGGGAGGAAAAAGGGTTGAGAAGCAGCATTGCACTAAATAATGACCAGGAACGGTTGGGTCACTAATGGACGAATGTAGCTGATGCGGTGCGGTTGTTACTGCCGTTATTCCTGCACCAGCAGCAGCAGCAGCTGTGTCCTCTCGCTGATTCAACGCATTTGTGACACCCGCTGATGACGATCCAACGGTACACATTGAATCGGATGAATAATGCGACCCGTAGGAATCTCGTTTCGTTGTAGCGATCTTAAATCATTTTGCTATTCATTCATTTCAATTTCCTGATTTCTTTCTATTCCCTTCAATCATCTTATCAAAAAGCGACTCTTCAAAAAAAAAATCAATGGCTTCAGCTAAATGATATTCAAATGAAGTCAAAGAAAAATGGACAAGGTAAATTCCCACAAGTAATACAAAAGTACGGCTGATTTGATTTATTGCACAATCGTAACATATCAATCGATTTTCAAAAGTTTCTGAAAAAGAAATTTTCTCCTACGAACAAATGATCATTCAATCCCTGCACAGCATTAACGCTACGTATTCTGCCATAGCATATTATTGAATATTAAATAAAAAGAATGCAATGCATATGTTCAACATGACTACATATGTATATTCATTCCGAACGTGTACACAGATCTGATTTATTGCTTGCGAAAAGTGGAATGAGGAGAAGATAAAGTGCACAAGTGCAGAACAGATGAGATCTCCACATCAAGAACGAGCTAAATTTGCAATTAAAAAACTATCGCTGATTTAAACATCTCGAGAGATCAGTTCAGTTTAAGCTGACAGCTCAACTGCAATGCCAATCGCCACTATTCATTCTACTCATCATCTACTACTTATAACTTTAAACTTTTTTTAAATTAATTGTCAAACAACATTAGCAACAAAAAATCTCGTTTCTGATCATTCTCACTCTTATTTTTACTATAACTATTACTCATTCAACAATAATACACACTATTAACTTGCATATCACAAATGTTAACGTTTTATTATTCTGAACGACAAAAACAACTGCGGAATTTTTTAAATTATCAAACTGCGATGTTCAAATTTAGCACATCGATAATTAACAACAATGTTTCTTCGATAAATCTATCACTTCAAACGGTACATTTTGTGTATTCATCAAGTGTGAATGGTAACTTTGCTCAGCTTGACACAATAATATTCTACAAAAATAACTACAGTTCAATAAGTCATTTTTACTCCTTACTGAAAACAATAACAAACTTTCAACGAAATTTACAGCAGATTAATTTTCAATAAAATTTATAACACTTATTTTCAAGCGAACAACTCGAACGAATTCTGTTTTCTTTTGCATTAATTCCATCCAGCAGAACGCATAGCAAAGCGATAAACGAATAAACTAACATGGTCATCCATCGACAGACTAGTAGCATTACGTGCTTTATCATTTTCGAAATCATCATAGATTTGCTTCTGTGTTGACTGTAACATTATTGGTCGTTCCATTAAAACACGAATGTACGCTTCACCGGTTGAGAAGTGTTGATAACGACGTTGAACTAGCGACAAGTCATCGTTGTAGGTACGTATCAAATCACGCACCACCGGATCAACTCTACGAATTCATTCAATTTTTCGCTTTCTTCGTTGACATGTATGCAAATAACAACAAAACAAATAACAATAAATTCAAAACTGAGAAACTTAATCGATAAGTTATACCGACCCATTAAGATTAGCAGGTACTGGTGATTCAACGGTGAGCTGGTCTCGATGTACTAAACGCACTTCAACATCATCAACCGGAAACTCAGCCACCCTGTGAATAAATGATAATGGTTTACACGACTTTGAATAAATAGAAAAATAATAAAATGCAACCAATATGCAATTCCTATTTTGTACGTCATTTTATTCGCAAAAGTTCATCTTTCATTCCATTCATATTCAGCCGTCATATAAATAAAATACAGTGTGAAACTTTTTGCCATGACACAACAAAAATTACAATAATAATTTTAAGAATTTTATTAATAATAATAATAATAATAATAGAAAAACTGCAATAATAATGGTAATTACTGTTGCAATTGTTGTTATAATTATCAATCATATTATCACCACAAAATTGGCAGAATGTAGCAAAATGCAAACCTTCTGGGACTGGCATTTGCGCTTGAATGCTCATAGATTGACACACTACTTTTACGTTGTGAGAGAATATCTTCAACATCTAGCGGTTCAACCACATCAATCAGATTCACCTGCAATCAGCTATATCAACCAATGTACCAACCCACTTTTTACAGGTTTCAATGCGAATTGACGACGCATATCCAATGAACAAAACAAACGATAATTTCAATTGTTCCACGCAAAGAAATCGATCGGTATTTTTTAATGAGGTACCGTTCCCAACGAAATTATGGATGTTTAAGTGAATGAAGATGAACAACAAAACATTCCTCATTTGTTAAATGATATTTTCAAACACTGCTCATAATCTGAAATCACTTGGAGAGGTGGATACGAAAGGAAATCACGGAAATGTGCAACTCACCGGCGTAAACTGACGATCATTTTTGAATGAAACTTTCTTTTTAGTTTTCAACGAAATTACTCTAGGAATTGAAGATGATGCAGTTGACATAGCAATGATGTATTACGGAGCAGTTTTAATGGTGAATTTGCATTAGGAAAAAAGTTCCAACAGGATCAAACAACAAACGCAGATGAGGTTAATAATCGATTTAAGGCCGTGAATGCACTCTACAACAACTTTTTTGTGACGTTTGCGTTTGTTTGATGAGCAATTTTATTATTCATTGTGACACTAATTGATAGTGATATTGGTATGTATACGTATACATTTGATATAGATGTTTATTTATGCACAGTCAAAATGAATAAACAGAAATATACCATATGTGATGCACCGTCAGTGTTATCAGTTGAAAATGCAGCTTGTGGATGCAACAAAAGACTTCCAGTCATTACATGCCGTCGCACGTCAGCTGCAGTCATCCTTAATCGAAACGAATCAGCTTCTAACTTCTGGTTTTTAAAGTTTTATTTTCCAATTGAAGCATTCTTCACGTTTTCGTCATTTCGACGATGAATTTGAAGTGCTTTTTGAACAGAATCGTTTGGTATTCATGAAGAATGCAGTGCTCACTAGACCATAGCAAAAGTGAACTTTCTGCTAGGAAGAAGTGATTAGCAATTTCTTCAAGAGAAAAGAATTGACAGGAAGTTAATGAATGATTCATATAACAGCTCCAATTATCAGTAATTGTAGAAAGTACCACTTGCATAGAAACAGATGATTACTGTGAAAACGACAATTGTGATACATTGCAAAAATTGGTATTATAAGCATGAATTATTAAAAAGGCGAATCGAAACAGAGTTCACTCTTTTAAAAAATCGTCTGCTATTAGTACTCAAAATTAGCACGCAATTAGTCTAACCTCCTCTGTTTGCAAGATTCGAGAAAAAATGAAATATCTAGCTGATCAACAACTCTTTTCAGTCGAGGCGTCCAAAAGTGTTTTTATTGTTAAAACATTCTCCGTGGGAATAAATGATTCGCATTTTCAGCTTCTATCTCTATCATGTGGCGTCCTCCACGAAAGTGTCCTGGGGCCTTTAACTTCCCCGCCTTGCATAAATAATATCCCTGATAACATATTTGCTGATGACTTCAAAGTGCATCGACAAATGCATAATCCGATGATCGATTTTCATAAAATACATGTCGTATTGAGGTCAGATGTATCTTCAAATGAATGTCCTATAAATCCTAAACAAGACCGCTGGATTATCATTAATGGATATCAGTTACAAACACTGAATGATGATACGGCATTCTACAATAAAATATGTTCCCCAATCTAATTGAAACGTTCAATTTTTGGAAGTTTCAGCAAAAGCACATATAACGTATAAAATAATCCATATGATTTCTTGATCACGCGCTTATAATACTTATTCATACTTCTGTTGTTTGAAGTTATGAAGACGAAGGCTGAAATCAAACCATTTGCATTCTATTATGTTAAATTATTATTTCGTTTTATACGACATTTTTCTTCTGCTAGTGACAATAAGTATTAAACGGAAGCTGTCATCATATCATGTGGTATCATTTTTATTTGCGTCTATGGTTTGCATAAAAATTGATGACATGAATTATGTTATTAGTGATATTTTTCATTATCGTTATACTTGTCTTAATTATTAAAAAACTGTGCAAATGTAACTTTGCTTTCATGTTACTTGTATTTGTATATTATTTACTATGTTTATATTGTATCGTACCGTTTTTCTACTGCTACTATAACTGTTTTTTTTTGCTTTTTTCTTCCTTCAATCTGTTTTAACAGTTATGATCTGCACAACCTTCACCATATATGCACCAGCAGTTCTTTTCAACGTATAAAACGAAGATTTCTATTTGTTTTTCTTTCTGAGCGTGAATAATGATAATGACTGAAGATCAAGATCAACTCACTTATTTCGCTTCGACGCAAAGGCGCGTTGAGAGCCACTGTTAAATGACATGATCGTTTGTTTCGATCAGTGGGTTGAAACGTTATTTGGTGAATATACTCTCCTGAAAAACGTGATAATGCTAATTGATCATCACTTGCTAATGTATTACAGTGTTGCTAATAACAATATGAATAATGATATCATCATTGCAATAATCACCAAACACGAGCCCCTTCCACCTTGGCTTGTTTTTGTTGTTTTTTGCCTTCTGCTGAATTGTTCGTCCTTTTTTTTTTCTCCACTTGCTCAATCGTTGACGAAAGTGGAACACAAGAGACGAGTTCGGCTACACGAATTCACCGACACCATAAAATTCAGTTCACTGAAGCAGTCAACGGATACCAGTTGGGCAAAATTTAACGTATAAATGTGCAGTCCATATATACATTTAAGTGATATTACACTCAAAGACTAGATCGTTTACTAAAAAAAATTAATTTTATCACATCTTTTGAAGGAGAAACATCAGATAATCGACAATATTATGCCACCCACCACAAACTGATCACCCCTGTACTCGTTTAGATTACAGATAACTGCTAGTGAATGGTCACCAGTAAAATGCATCTGACAAACCGTCTTGGTTTTAGCCCTACGTATGAGAGTGTGCCTACTCTCAATTTTAAACTTAAGAGGATGAAGCTGTAACGTGAGCGGGTAGCGGGTATTTGCATGCTGCTCGTGTGGATAGGTAAAGTTCATCTTCAAGAGAATTATTTGCAAGATACGTCTATTACAATTCATAGGCTAACAATGTCTAACAAATTTCAGTCCGCAAAAGCAACGAGGAACTCAGCTCCATGGTGGAAACTGAAGGAACATTTGAAATTCATGGGATTGTTGTCTCAATCAAAAGAAAAGAGATAATAGTTTCACTGGTGGTAAAGTTGAGATGCGATTGAGTACGATGAATTGGTTACAATATGCACTTCTTACTGAAACATTCAAAGCGTCTTAGTTTCAGCCCTACCTCTGAGGGTGTGCCTACTCTCAATGAGGTGGAGTGAAACAAATTCATATGCAAAACAAATGATGTTCATATGACGGCGTGTCATCAATCGATATGTGATTTGTTGTTGTGATCGTATGGAAATGGGAAGCATCCAATATATGATGATAGGTTTGTGTAATACACGGTAAACAATGAAACGATAATCGCATAACAGCAGCATTCATATCACATTTGGTGTTGTTTATACATTCATCTTATCAGTCTTTGAACTCAAACACGTTAACACTAGTTTTAAGCTTTACTTTTGTTGTCTCATTTTCACGAGGTGATTACCATTTTCACTATTTTTCCGTCATTATACGAGTACTACTTGCATCAAGGAACGTGCTTCATTCATTCATCGAATTTTCTATTAACTTAACGATTCATTTCATCATTTAACCATTTCTCTGATGAAGTGTATAACGAAATTGTGTGAAATAATCAATCGTTTGACTAACAGTGAGCTGATAATTAACTCAAGCAACCGCAGACAAAAACAACTTTTTTTGTTTTCTTGTTTTGTGGAAGTTAAACGACACCAGTCAATAGATATATTATAGTGCGCAAAAGCGTTTTGGAAAATGACGTCAGGTAATGATGAGACAATATTTGGATATAAGCGTTATCCCAAATTTGTATTGAATCAACCGAAGTATCCACAAAACACATTTTTTGGTCGGTATCTTCATTTCTTGGAAGCAATTGATCCAAGAACACTGTTCACTTCGAACGTAAGTCGATTTGCAATAGTTCTAAAATTACTTGCTTACTCGCTCATAAATCCAAAAATTTTTGCGTTTCCTTTCATCGTTGATTCAACCAGTGGTGGGCCATAGCGCGGTATTCGCTATTCCACTATTAACGGAGCTACTTTTTTCGGCAGCGCGATAGTTCGCTACTTTTTTTTAAAGCGAAAATTTGTGACTTCTTTTTTTTTCTTAAAGCGATAACTTCCGCTACCTATTTTTTCGCGGCATAAAGTAGCGATAGCTTGTGCTACTATCTCTCATTAGCGTTTTAGCCAACTACTTTCTCTCAGACTTCCGATAACTCGCTACATTTTTTTTTGTGAAGCAATGCTTATTTTTCTAACCATCAAGTATTTAAACTCTGTACGATGTCCATATTTTTGTTAATCAGTTGATATTCGTGAGTCAGATTAAACTACATCTTGACATAAGTTTTAATTTGAGTCTGTGGACCAAATTTCAAGTCGCCAAATCACATGGAAATATTTCCGAACCGGAAGACCGATTCGATTTACCACAATATGATTGAAGCACTTGCCCGTGTTTCAAAATAGAACGTGTTTGTATCATCTTGTGGAACACGGCCAGCTAATTTCGAATCTGCTCTCTGATTTCACACAACCACTTTTGATCAAGAGTTCGGTAGGGGGAGAAGATCATACAATGAGTAAAAAGATCCCAACACATACCTCTTCCTCCTCTAATTTTGGTATACTCAAAACTAGGCATGTTCTGGTACATCAATTTTGGGATAAGATCAATTGCAGTATGAATAGATTAATCTTGGAATATAATCAAAAATACGCAGTTCGTTCATAATTCCAGTCTCCCAAATAAATGAACACATTGTACTGTAGAGCTCACGGAATCGCTCAGAAACGTAAAGACATAACTTTTAAAGGTATATTAGTTCAAAACATAGCTTTCTCCCTTCATCGCTCCTAATTTAAAGTTCTGCAGATTCTAAAAATAGATTTGAAATCAGCTACACTACTGTAGGAATATTACAACCTCCACATTTAAATTTACCCTCATTCTTGCCTATAATATAACGATTTCTTAATAGAAGTGAACAGGAGAGGTTTTCTACTATCACAACTTTATGTGATTTTGAGGGATTTTGCCCACTTTCAGAAATAGAGTGATTTATTTATTGGAAGGATGGGAAGATTTGGTAGCTTAGCTAAACCGTGTGATTCAGATGATTCTTTCCAAAGTCTCAGTTTCTGATTTCAAAGATATTTAAGATACGTCCACAGGAAATCAGTCATTTTTGCTAAGTTCTCAATTGATTGCATTAGTGTGTTGACCGAACCACGTCATCTCGTTATCAGAATGTACATCTTAAGTGAAGGATTTCTAAATTTTATTGTATGATTCGTAAAGGTGATATTTTCATCCACAATGGGAGGGAGATGTGAGTGGGTAAGGAGTTCCCTAATAGGCTAGGAACTTGGTTATCTGATTATCAACTCTTAATAACTTTGACTATCGGTTACGGCACTCATCCGAATTGCCGTAAATTACTGTTAACTCTACTTTCCTCCCCATAATTGCTTTCGCACGAAAACAAGCACGAAATGGTACACAATCGTCAATAACTCTAACATGAGTTACTGCTAGCCTCAATTTCATCTTTACCATGTTAAGGGCTCGACGAAGTGGCTCTTCAGTTGGACATCATTTGGTTATTATTATTATCCTAATTCCTTAACAATCGGATGCCATGTGAATAAAAGTTTGTATTTTCAACGAACCCCGAAAAGATTCTATCAAAATTTTGACGGTTTCTTCCCAGACAAATCAGCAACGCGATTGCGAATTTTAATAGCAATTAGCGGAATGATTGTGCTGATTAGCGTTTTAGCGACACTTTTAGAGAAAACTTTCCACTATTTTTACGTTAGCGGCGATGCTAGCGAAGCATTTTTAACATAACAAAATATTTTTTCGAGTGAATTAGCGATTAGTGGAGTTACTTTTTCAGTAGCTTGCCCATCACTGGATTCATTCGATTTATTTATTTGCGACCGATGAATGCTCAGACTATAGCACGTTGAAGTTACGTTTTGTTTAGGCTAAACCTGTTGAATGCAGACGTGAAAAGATGACTCTGAATTGTTCGTTTGAACTTAATTCAAGCTCATGATCTTTGCAAAACCTTATATTGTTAAATGATTTTATTTAATAGTAGGCTTTCTGCTTTTATATCCGATATAGCTACTGAATGTTATTTCAGGGTAATCTAGAATTAGTTGCATATGAGATTATTTTGATGGCTTTCAGAAACAACTGGAAAAATGCGTTAGGCTTTTGGATGACTATAAAGCGAATGGTATGAAATCGTTGAGTAGTGATCGAGAGTTATGGGAGGCACAAAAAATCAAATCTGCAATTCTACATCCGGATACAGGACAGAAAATTCTACCGCCGTTTCGAATGAGTGGTTTCGTGCCATTTGGATGGATTACGGTAATTATGTATTCACATCTAACGAAAGTCGATTTCAACCTTTTGTTATTTTCAATCAGCTTTGAACGATCGTCTTTTTTGTTGTGCTGAAAACGACAAGAATAATTGAGAGAAGTCTATAAAACGTTCTGAAATAGATAGTAGCACCTAAAACAGCTGTCTGCAATCGCAGGCAACCACACTGAATCAATCTCTTGCGAACTTCAACTTCTTTGAAAGCTTCAAAAAGGTTTGAAGATGAATGAATACAAATGTGTACAAAAGAGCTTATGCACTTAAGGTAACTGGTATGTTGCTACCGAATCCATCGTGGAGCACTCTTCTTTTTTGGCAGTGGATGAATCAGTCGCACAATGCACTAGTCAATTATGCTAATAGGAATGCCACTTTGGTTCGTTATTTGTTTCGAACTACTTACCGTTGCATCGTTTGATGCAGTGTACTCCATGTATAATATTGCGTATTCATTGTTAACGGTTTATTGTACACTTACGCTACTGTGCAGTGCCCATAATAATGACAATATATTATAGCGCGTAATAATATTAATTGCACTCATAATTGTACGCATTAATCGTAACGGTAATGAGTGGTACTTTAATTCGAATCATACAGTCAATGTTTTATTTAGAATCAACCAGTATCAACATATATCAAAGCCTATTGTGCTGCTGTTACATCAGCATGTTCAATTGCAGCTGGTTAGTTTACTTGAAGTACTTTCATACTGTTTTTTTTTTATCAGTTCATTACAAATTCCAAAAAAGTGCTAATTTAGCGGAATGATTAACACACTGATTCCTGACGATCAAATAAAATCTTATGTGAACTTAGTTTTGAAACACCTCCGTAATGGTAAAGAAAGAGCAATTGTTTAAGGTTTGACGTATTTGATAAAACGATCTGATAAGTTATCATTATCGAAACGGATTATTATACAGCGTTTCATCCCATTACCAGCCACATCTCTCGCAAGCAGTTTCAATGTCATTTGTATGAGATATAATGAAATTAACTCTGGCATTGAAGTTTATGATGAAAACCGAAATGTCATTGGTATTTCGAAAATTGCTGCCAAACAAGTTAGTTTATTTATTATTTTAAATGATCAGTGATTAATCATAAACGTAGAATAAGAAAAATTTGTTAATTTCGTTATTTTTGTTGATAATGTGATACTTTCTTACAGGCCGTCATTTCAACAACATTAACACGTGCGTTTCTCCCCATTCCTCTTCTGCTTGCACCACCGTGCATAATGCCCTTCCTTGAGAGGTTTATGTTCATTTTTTACATTTCGAGTCACTCTTTAGCATTTGTCGAACTCCACTGAAGCGTCGAATGGAAAGCAGAAAAATGCCTTCCTTAAATGAAATAGCAATGATATGAGGTATGCTCAGTGAGTAACCTGATCAAAATAATGAAGAAGCCAACAAAAGGAAGATTCTGAAAGTTTACTGTGTAGAAATCAATTTAGATATTCATTTGTGACTCGAAATGCTGTGCGACATTTGTTGGTGAATGCGTTCGTTTGTACACTTAGTTTCGCATTCAGTTTGCCGATCTCATTAGCACTCTTCCCTCAAGAATGTGCCGTAAGATTATTACTTCGCTTTATTGTTTCCACTTCATCGCTTATAACTTGAACGCTACAGTAACCATTATTTCTTCGAAGATGAGCCTGTGAAAATCACTTATTACAGATTACACATTCTTACAATTGCAGATTCCCGTACACAATTTGGAAACAGAGCTGCAGAAGAAGACAACACAGACGACGGCGTACTATAATAGAGGCTTGTAGTAGCCAACTTGAATGGAATGAGCTTTCCAACCCATCTAAATTAGCTAGTAAATTGCTCCATAATGCAAATCGTCATAAGCTTAGCCAGAGTCTGACCGAGAGGTGCGCAGTTCCTCCTCCTCCCCCCCCCCACACTTCTCTTCTCTTTCTCTAAAAATTGTATCTTTCAAATTTCCAGCAGTTCACTACCGTCATAAAATCGTGCAGTGTAATAAAACGATCACAAATGCCCTCTGATCCCATGCGATGACAATTTCCACTTATAGGAGTGCCAAAACTATTTTTCCTGATGAAAACGCTTAAACGTATCGTACTTTTTCTTGTCTTCAGTCAGAAAAATCTGGCCATGCGTACGCAAATAATTTGCATAATTGCGGAGATATTCATAAAATTGATATGCGATAATTGATGAATAAATGAATATATGTGTTACCAATTCGAAATTATTCATTTGATAAGCACTTATAATAACTCAATATGGCTGTATGTATGTCTGTTATCACGACTAAATAACATAATCTTCATTGTTCGGTATATGTTTATCATTTCTACCGATTCGTTTTTATCTGAAACTAAATGCTAAATTAATTTATGGAATACGCTGTCAGCAATAAGCTTGTGAACTACAAATTAGTATTCAAGTGTCACCAGTTGGTTTCTTTGCATTTTCTTGAAACAAGCTAGCTTTAGCAATTGGAAACGTTCGAAAATTAAACGCCTCAGTACATCTAAATGATTTTAATCAATGCAATCACAATGTGACTAACGAATTCATTCCTGTTGAGCTTTTTGTTCATCGATCATCGGCGTTCATCGATCCTCATATACATTACAATCAACGTTAAACGCTACCACTGCGCTAAACACACACTTATCTAGCTATCATATAAATTTTTTGCTATGCTCCCGACTGACTACACTCGTATAGACCAGCTGCTAGCAGCCAGCTGCTTTCAAACGTTTGCGCTGCTCCACCGAACAACTCATTCGCTCATTATTGGGTGCTTTAAGATTCTCTTTATTCTTTCAGCAAACATTCATAGAGACATACATAAGCACTCGACAACAAGTGAGTTTAGCATATAGGAGGCGAAAGTTTTCCAGATTCGAGTCTTTTTTTTTTGTTCCCATATTAGGCAAACGCGCCTTGACCAATACAGTTGTATCTCTGAAACTATAAACTCTCTATCAAGCACAATGCACTTTTCTTGTCGCTTAAGACGTGCTCGACTTGAACACTACAAAAAATTGCATAATTGATGATAATAATCCGAGCGTATGGGTCGTCAAACACAGTATTCCTCATGTCCGTATAGTTGTCCTCACTGAACAAAATAAGAATCAACTGTATGGAAATACGTGACCGAATTGAATCGCCCAACCATTTGTCTTACATTATGCATTTGCACAAACTATATGAAAGCACTGTTTTGACAACTCAGAATCTCCTCTGAGTGTTGATATTAAAAATTTATTGACTCACTGAGCAGGTGATACCGATCTAGAAAACTGAAATGCTGTTCTGTGTGAGTGTCATGAAGATGTATATGAAATTACGGTCAGTTGGAAGTAAGCAAACATCGTCAAATGAACAAGCAAAAACATGCTGCCGAAGGCTGTGTCTCAGAAACTAATAGTAAGGATACGTGTATCGTATCGAGAATGTATGTATTATTCTTCGATGATACGTATACTTTTTTTGTAGCTTAGGATCCGCTTGATCCAATAGCATAAAAACTCACGTGCTTGTCGATAAAGCCTTAGCGTATGGATCGTTTAAAGATAGTGATCCTCAAATTCGCAAAATGATTAATCATAACAGGGATGAAGTACACAAAAACATGTGGCCGAATACACTAGCACAGCAGTATCCCATATCTTCAAAAACGCAGTCAGATCTCTGAAAGTATGCTTTTTTTTTCATGGTAAATCCTTTCAAAATTCCAGACAAACGGATGAAGCCTGTAAGGAAACGGTGAAATGCCGTTTTGGTTTGAAATGCCACAAAAACTGTCAACCAACCAAAACACCTACGAAGTAAGGTGAGGATGAGCACAACGATGAGTTTGAGGGAATCATTTTGTCGGATTCGTTCAGTGCTTGAAGAAACTTGAAAAATACTCCCATTGAGAGATCAACCTGACGCTGAATGATGTTCTAGACTGTTCAAAGATCAATACAAAATCTTAGCAGTTCCAAAATTTCTGATCCGTATATTGATAATATCCCCTGGTATTCGGATACGTTCCTATATTGCCTCTTTAAGATGAAACGTGTTTATCTACATCGAACACTTTTAACGACATTAACTTAGCGTTTGTTACCGTAGTGATCAGAGAAAGACCAAGAGGAAGAGGCATATTCTGGGATGGGCGAATTTAGATTACGTACTTTGCTTAGTGAGGATAGGGTAATTAAGCTGAACGTTCTCAATGTGAGTGATGCTCTGGCTTTAACTTTTTTTAACTATACTGGAAGCGTGATGATGAAATTCCAAACTTTGGTCGTTTGTGACGCCTCGGTCTTGGATGAATGACGAGGGAGCTAATTATGATGCTGAGTAGGATATTGAGCGCGCTATCGTTTTTCGATAGCGTATCCATCTCTGAAAATATTCATTTTTATTGAAGATTCTATATGTATGAGAATTGCATGTACGGAAAACCAATTGAGAAACATCATTATTTAAAAATGTTATTCCATGTAAACTCAACGATTGTAACAATAAGATCGAATTTCATTTTTTTCATTCATTTTGTTTGATTAAATGGCCAACAACAACTATTACAGATGGCTGGCATTCATTTAAGCTTAAGCAATGCAAATGTAAGCGTTTTTAATCGAAATTTTCATACAACAACCACAATCACTTTATAACAATCATTTTTTGCTACATAATATTCAAATGCGATTCTGATTCCAGTCGTCGATCGGTTGAATAAATATCGCATCACTTTCTTTTTTCCTCACTTCTTTTCAATTCTATTCACCTTTCTTTTATTTTTTGTTGTTTTGCCCTGTCAAATTATTTATTAATGAGCACGAATGGAACATGGCCATTGTTCACCATTCATTCATTCTTTTCACTTTTCTCATAACCTCATCTAATATTCATTCTAGCATTCAACTTAGCCAAATTTCGATTCTTCTTTCTGATCCCTTTCAAAGTTAGTTCCACATTATCATCATTACCGAAAACGTATTATTCCAATCATTTTTGCTATCATTATTATTACTGTCGTTAGTGTCCTTATTATTATGATTGTTATTATTATTGTTGAAATTATTATTACTGTTATTGTTACTGTTATTATTATTATTATCATTATTATTATTAACATTATAATCATTATTATTGTTACTATCATTATTATTATTTGAAGGTTATCATTTCATTGCTAATGTCTATATTTCAGCATGAAGTATTTTACATGAAGTATTATGCGTTACTCTCTTTTCTTTATTTTGCTTATTTTTATTATCAGTATCATGAGCCATTCAGTATTTCCATAATTTTCAAGGTTTCGTTTGGTGGTCAATGTTACTGCAACATTTGTTTTTGTTTTTATATCAGTCGTGTGCTGAACAACAAATCAAACAACGACAGCAGGTTGTAGGGTGGGTGTTTTTGAATTTTGTTCATATTCAACTCCTTGAGATTTCTCGAAACTGGTCTCGAAAAGATCCATTGATTTGTCAGTGTTTTTTATAATGAGTCAGTGCAGTATTGTTGTTTTCATTAACGAAAACAATGCACAGAAGATCATTAGAGCCAAGCGATTTTCTGTTTGAGTTACAATAATTAACCAAATAGGCCACTACATGTAGAATTCATCTGAGATCGCCCGTAATAGCTGAGAGTTATGAGGGGCATCTAACAATTAGAACATGGTCTATGAACACCGGATATGAAATGTTATGTAATTAATCGGAAATAAGTGACGGTTTTATGACGAGAGAATTTCTTTACATTGATTTGTTCTCATTCTTGCAGCCATCCGAGGTTAATTGATGAACAAAAAATTATACGGCGTTTGCTGGAAGATGAGAATTCGGATTATGACTGGCGTGTTCGACCAAGAGGTTCAGTTGATCCAAAAGTGCAAGAAACGCCAGTCAATGTTGCTGTTAATATGTACTTAAGGTGTTTTTTTTTGGCATGTTTGAATGCGTTTCGGCGCGCTAGTATCACGATAAAATAATTTGTTAAGTAACAATTCAGGATGTATGAATGCCTCAAAGTGCACTCCTTGTATCAAATATGTTTCGCACGTGAATAAGTGAATGTTCATTTCGGCGACATCATTTAACATTTTTTTAGTGCCAATTTGGCAAAGCGCAATTTCCTGAAAATTATTCATCAGATTATTATATGAAATGTTACATTTCAGAAGCATTTCAAAAGTTGATGATGTGAATATGGAATACAGTATGCATTTCACATTCCGTGAGGAATGGGTTGATGAACGATTGCTCTTTGTTAGCGACTCGCTATCGCACATTGTATTGTCACCAGGCCAGAAGATCTGGGTACCTGATACATTTTTCCAAAATGAAAAAGATGGGAAAAAGCACGATATTGATACACCAAATATTATGATACGCATTTATAATTCAACCGGGAAAATTCTCTATTCCTGCAGGTAAACAGCAATATTAACGCAAATGCAGCAGCGCAGATAATTACTGTATCATTATAAGATGTTTATTACATTATTGTCAATAATACTAAAAGAGCACATATTCTGAGTAATAGAAATTCATTTTTATAAGATTTGCATGCTAAAAACTGCTGCAACGATTTTTTCCAAACGAATAACGTTTCTTTTTTCTTGATGATTTCTTTTTGATCATTGTGAACTATTGTTGTTTTGATTTTCTTGATGGGATATAAATTTATGACTATCAGATTGGTGTGAGTCATCAAAGTTGTTTCACTCTCAAATTATTTGTTTCTGCGAATATTATCAGACGTGAATCTCGGTTATCACAGATATTATGAGTATTTTTGTACGACTGAATTTCGGATGCTGTCATTCACCTCAAATTTGAAGCTCAAAACTGGAAATGTGTTTTGTGCAAGTGACGTAATAAGGATTATTCACAATTACGTTTTAAATATTATATTAATTTCATCTCTGTCAATAACAAGATTATTATTATAATATTGATATCATAGTTGTACTGTTGGAACGACTATTATTGTTAGTGATAGTGTCTTAACGATGTGTCAGCAATTTGAAGTATTCTAATTATTTCTTCAATAAACATAAGTGTAACTGTATTTGCTATCATTGAATATGAAGCAAATGGAGGAAGATGTTTAAAGCATACGTTATAAGCCAACTGCATGAAAAGATTGCGTCATTGATAAGTGGTATTAACATTTGTGACGCGCTCGGACTTTTTTAGAATCACAATAATGTTGTTATTGACAGAGGTGAAATTGATATAATATTTGTATATTGACAAGAAAAAACTCAGTTGTGAATCATCCTTATTATATCGCCTACGCAACACGCATTTCCGGTTTTGAAGGTCAAATTTGAGATGAACTACAGGATTCGAGATTCAACCATACAAAAAAGATGGTTGAATGCACTGAAGCACGTCATCCTCACTTGGTCTCCAAATCCTCACAAGAAGTAATCATCTCATCGTCAACAGGATGAATGTTGACAAATACATCTATTCTGTTGAAGATCTACTGCATAAATTTCAACCCATCAAACGAGATCCAGTGCGAGCAATATAAAAAGTTGCGATATTTATTTGAGAGAACGTACATAGCTAATTGTTGTTTAATTATTTAATACTTGGTCGTCAATGAAGTACGAATTAATATTTGTCGCTTGCGATACTCAATAGTGATCATTATTTACTTCAGAAAATTGGTTCATTCATGAAATTTATAGATTGACATTAACACTGAGTTGTCCAATGCAGCTGAATGATTATCCATTAGATATGCAACAATGTTACATTGATTACGCAAGTTATGCATATACAGCCAAAGATATTGTTTATCACTGGAAAGAGGAACGACCAATTCAAATCAAAGACGGCTTACGTCAATCGTTACCATCATTTGTTCTTTCAGATGTTAAAACTGGCAACTGTACATCTGTCACAAACACAGGTCTCTTTGCATATTTTTTGAAAAGTACTGATGCCAATATTATTCACAATGATTTCTATCAACACGTCAATTCAACATCTATTAGCTACACCTGAGAATCAGTCGTGTGTTAAGATCTAATGCAATGAAGATGTGTTTTTGTGATAATATCATCAGAATGTAGCACTATTAAAATCATTGTTGAAATTATTGTTATTCTCACTAGCATTATTATTAAACGAGCAAGAAAGTAATTGTACAAGATTTATTATGTGCGTTCTAAAATAATTCTGATTTTTGTTCAGGAACGTATAGTTGTTTACGAACAATTATCGAACTGAAACGTGAATTCAGCTACTATCTTTTACAGTTGTATCTACCATCTTTCATGCTTGTTACCGTTTCGTGGGTATCGTTTTGGTATGATTTTAATGAGCGTTCAATCAATTTCATGACATATGAATATTCAGTTCATCAAAAAGCAAAAATTTTACGCTTTCATTAACAAATTTCTCGTTTCTTTTTGCATAGCATCAAGATGGGCAATCAGTGTACATCCTTTAAAAATAAACACATAAATAAACTGTTTTAAAGGTTAGACAAAGATTCGGTAGCGGCCAGGGTAACACTTGGTGTAACCACATTGCTCACTATGACAACTCAGGTTCAGCGTTTTTTTTCCAAATTTTACTTATTACCGCATAATTTCTGGTTTTCATTTATTATAGCATAATAATTTCAATAATTGGATTGAGGATTGCATAATGAATATTTGCTGAATGGTTAAAATTTATTCATTCATCACGTTGCTTTATTGTTGTTATTTGTTTTTAGGCATCTGGCGTGAACGCAAATCTTCCACCAGTCAGCTATACCAAGGTGTGCTTTGCTGAAATTCACCAGTTTTTTTACTGATCTATTTCCAATGCATTGAGACTTTTCAGCATACTTATTCGCCTAGATAATAACTAAACGAGGCGTGCACGGCACTGAGAATGTTAGCTTGCCATGATAAACTCTGAATTTGGATGCACTGAATAGGAATAGACTGAACTGAATGACTTACAAACTCAAGAAATTTTTTGACTTAAATCACTAAAAGACCGATAATAAATTGACTTGAAAAAGAACTAAAGAAATTTTTCCGATGTTTGAAATGAGTTTGAAGATTGCATTGTTAGCTTTGAATCAGTATCACTGAAAAGAAACATGAATAATCGAAACAACAAGACTCATTTTAATGTTATTGTCAACTAATAAAGGCCATCGATATCTGGATTGGAGTCTGTTTGGCGTTTATATTTGGTGCGTTACTTGAATTTGCGCTTGTCAACTGGGCAGCTCGTCAGGACTTAATTCTTACTATTCGATATCAACCATATCTTCTAATACGACAGTCAGTATTCGAATGTTGTCGCTAATGATCAGTGATGAATTCTTATTTTATGTTTTAATCACAGAGTAATTTCAGAAATTCGATACAATATGAAAACATTTTTTATTTCTTCGTCGTAATTTGAATAGATTCATTTGTTCGAGAACAATGATACTGAAGGACAGATTGGAAAGTGGATGCTTATGCGGACATGCGTGTAATGAGAATAAGATCGGCGCTAAACGCAGTTTCGTCAGCCACTAAACATCAACGACGATATTTGTGGTGGAGGCGATTATGGCATTTCCAATACAAAGAAAGAAGTCGACGAATCGATCATTTTTCGCGTCTCCTCTTTCCGACATGCTTTATCATTTTCAATATCACAGTGAGTGAAATTTCTTTGTGGCTTTTGTTTCTCATAAACAGTCACATTTCGCATAAACATAGGCAATCATTAAAATTTCTTTTGTTTCATAACAATTATGTTGTCATTTCCAGTATCACAGTGAAGTTTCAAGCAATTATGTTTTAATTCTATTCTAAGAGTTCATATTCCTACCATACAACTAAAACATGATTCAATTCAAATGCTACATGAACTATTTAACAATACAGTATTGGTGGCGATATTTGAAACCGTATATGACAGTTGGAACGGTCAAGTGATCTGAACATGGGTCAAATAAAGCGTTCCTTTTCGTCAAGAAATAAAACGTCTTCAGTACTCTGGTATCATCTGCACCACTGTATTATGATGTATCAATAACTTAACTGCATTCACAATCAGAACTCAACTAATACTCTTCGATGTTATTCATTCAAAATTAATTCAAGTTATATGAACATATGGGCTTGTTTGTGTTTGCACTTATTCTTCACTCGATTTTATAAACATTGCTGTCAATAATACTTCGTTATTGCCATATCAGAAATGAACATCATAATACACATGTACTGTACTCGTCATATCATTAAGAAACAAACGAATAAACGAGCTCACACACACGCAAATATGGTTATGAGTGAATCAAAGATAACTTGCGTTGAATTGACTCGTGTTAATATTGAAACACACGACGTCAGTGAACTCCTCATTCAGCACCAGCAAGTGAGAGTGAGGCAAAGAGTCGAGAAGAGCTGTTCCAGAAAGGATGGCAACAAGGCAATAATCATTACCAACAAAGCATTCCTGTATTAATCGAAAATACCATCGATCAATAGATAATCAACCCATGCTAGTAGAATATACATTAGATGTGAATCTTATTAGTGTGACTTTAGCTTGATACATGGAAGGATGATCAATTTCAAATAAGTATAAGATGATGAGGTCTAATTAGTGTGCGCTGATTAGACACCAATAATATCATTTTAAACAAGCATTTTTGATTCGTAAAAACAAAGTTTTTGATCGTAATGTTCTTTTCATAAAAGCAACATATACACAAAGTACACTTTGCTAGATGTGTAAATCCATCAATCAGCATGTAGTAGAGATACATAAATTGATAGGTTGACATGAGTAAGGTATGGTGTGTAATTATGAAATTTTTATATTCATGCATAAAATATGCATATTTATAGCCAGTGATGCCCTGTTTTAAAAAAAAAACTTGATTTAGCTCCAGTTTCGTCTCCGCGTTTTCGAAAATTCCCGCTCGTGTTCCACATTCGAAACTTCCTCTGCCCCGCTTCGGATCCGGGAAAAGCTGGTGTATAATTGTCGGTTGTAGCTTCGTTTACTGAATGTTGTTGTGATGTTTATTTTTTGACGGTCACTGGTTATAAATACAATAGAATTGTTAGTGAATATGGCTAACATAAGTATTCGGGTACCAAAGTATAGCACAACTTCGAAATGAGATGAATATGTAACATGACAGAATGGTGGGCGTTATCACAACGATTCATGTGCTAATCGCACAGTTTAAGAAAGAACTGAGACCGTTCTTTTTGAGATCGTCTCTATTCCAAAGGCATATATATATCTTGTGATAAATGACTGATTAATATAGAACAAGAGTGTAACGGAACAGTGCCATAAAACATTATCCGATTTTGGTTCAGTATAAATACCATTATATATGCACATAATTTGTTTTATTAAGATGAAGTTTCAATTGCCGATTCGTAATTGCTGCAGAATTGCTTCTAATGTCGAAAATTGACTTTGCGCTGAATTAGTGACCCTATCGCTGCGATACATTCGATCGTTCGGCGACACTTCTTCATCGATAATTTTTTGTCGTTCTTTTTCTCGCTGAATATCTCTGAATTTAGCGGAGATCGATTTCAAGTCAAGTTTTTTTTCATTAATTTCACGTCGGCGATACGCCTGACCATACATTAAATGACGCCAGAGATCAGCTTTTTTGATTAGATCAATTGCTGATATCGCAGATGAAAATAATGGCGTTGCTGCATTCTCCAGATTCACCACTGAGCCAATGTTATTGATATTTTCGGAGTTACCATTATGTTTCAAATCGGAATACTGCGAAAAACGAGGTGAGTAAAGGTTCTGGATATTATTGTAGAATGATAATGGAGCGTTGGATGGTGCAGAATAGCCGTTACTGGATTGAACAGAACTTGATGATGGATTGAAATTTACATTGGATGATGGTTGTGGTGCATATGAAGAGATGTCGGATGGAGAGGGCAGAAGGCTGACAGAAGAAGAATCACGCTTCACATAGGCCGTACAACAACGAGCACATGCCAAATCGCTTGCATAATTGCAACCACCACATCCACAAGCGTCTATTCTTACAATTAACATGCATAAAATGATCAGTAATAATTGCTGCATTATCTGAAACTGCTTTATCTTACAATTGCTGACATGAAAACAACTACCGATAAGAGAAAACGATCGCATATTTGATAAAACGATGACATGAAACGTCAACTGCTCTTGTAAGTGATTCGGCGTTTAACACTTCGATTAACAAATTCATTCCACCTGGATATCAGTTTGAAAATGATGAACAATTTAATAAAAGCAAACAATTATTTACAGTGATATTCTCAAAGAGGATATTCGAAAATGAAAGTGCATATCATCAAGAAGTAAAGAATTGATGATCAAAACGGAATGAATCCTCTCTGGTTGGATGTATAATAGAAATGTATGAAGAAGAAGAAGCAATGAATATGAAAGTGAATAATGGTTATCATCGTTGCTAAAATCACTCATTATCATCACTGTTTATCCATTCATTTGAGATGAAATACGAGAAAGCAAGGCTGCGAGTTTTAAAACAAAAGCTTGATCGCAATCAGTGATACCATAAAATCAATGAGTTCGAATTCATCAATGCTATTTTATTAATGAACGAAATTAAGAGAGTTGTTTAATTAGACTATATTGATGAAAGATAATATTGCAACTGACTGCGAACAAGCAGCATCTGATTATAATTCTTTTTAGCATTGTTTAGCAATGAATCACTTCATTAAGTATTAAGCAAATGTAATCATTCAAATGAACAACTGAATATTTTTCGAATGAAAAAATCACATGAATCATATAGTAAAAAATATGGACAATAGAAGAATTGAAACCTGTTTACTTGTTGATAGGTCATAATCTCAATGCTTGAAGGTAGTCCTTCTTTTCTGAATTTTGCCTACAAGCAAGGTCAAAGAGGATGCTTCGGAGAAGTGATCCCTTTTTTTTGGAACCATGGAATTGTCGTTGATAACGTAAAGAAGAGAGCTAAAATGACATCAAAGCTCGTGCATAACATCAAATTCTGTTATCTTACACAATGTTCAACTAAACTTTGTTATCATTCGCTCTTTGTAAATGCATGTAAGCAGTAACGGAGACATCCCCAATCAGTTGAATCGAAGTAAAAATGAACAAAAAGATATGAATAAATACAACCACAAGCGCTATATAAATGACTGTTTTTCGTTACGCTTACAACAAATGTACACGTCTATAGCACTCACTCTTATCAAGTACAACGTTTATAATCACAAGTTAAAAAGTGTTATAATGATGTAATAATGACATCTTATGATAATAGTGCTATGAAATCGTTTGTAAACATTTGGTGATGACGCTTAGCAATAAAAAGTATCATGATACGATTAGATAACATTCTTTGACCAAATTGTGTTAAAAATCAAAAAGATTTCTTTGCACTAAAACTGTTTCGGTGATTTTTTGAAGAAACACGGTTTTTGGAAGCAGCATATTCCGACCCTTTAAAATAAAAACACGAAATTTTTTGAAATTTTCAGATACAAAAGCAAGTACGGGTATTGTGCGTTTACTGATTGTTAATAAGTTTTGTTTTGTTTGTGCATTTAATCACTTGATCAGTAGCGTTTGATTTTTGTACGATTGACATTTGATTTCATATCGGACGTTGACTAACGATCAACAGTTTACAGCTGTGCTTTATCACAAAATAATCTTGAAAATTCAGCTTCAAGATCGTGCACAAAGAAATGATTCGTTAATATGATAATTCAAAATGAATTTCATAGAAATGAGAACTGCAACGATTTTTTGCTTGAAATCGCATCAAATCAAAGCGATCAGTGTTCGTAAACATAAAATTCGAATTTTTTGCTGAACTAGTGAAATTGCAATATTTTTTCCCTTCTGAATACAGCAGTAAAACTTTCCATTTTCAGCAATAAAAAATAGCACTAACGAAGTATAGATAGCAATAACAAACTGGACATCATTCATAGAAAATTTTTAAGTGAAATTCTGAGGTATACTTGGAGAGATAAGAAAAGAAGCGATGTGAAGCAAACAATGAAGTGCTGAAGGAGCAACATCAATCACATATAAAATCGTCTGAAAGAACGTAAGAAAACAAGTTTGGCATCCTTTGAGGCGTGATGATAATAAAATAGCGAAACTATCGCTTCTGCATGAATCGTCTTCGGACTGGAAGCAGTCAAGAGATAGAAAGCGACTGATCTGGAGGGAGCAAATTGAAACTGATTTGAAACTGGCTGGATTTGATGGCATGTTCAAAGCGACAACGTCAGTTTATGGTCAAAACATTAACACTACATGGAATAATCCAAACTGGATACAAACAGTCTGTGAGTGTGATAACTGACAACAGAGCTAATGCTTGCAAACACTACGATAGCACATTGGTGAAATCGCCTTATTGGCACTCTACAAGATGAGGTAAGAAGTGAACTTTGTCCACTTGTGAGTGAATAATGGAATGCTTAATTTAGTTCAGAAAACTTTGAAATACGTTATGCTATATTAAAATGATAAGATTCACGAGATATAAACGATCACAACATTTTTATTAGGATAACTTTGAAAGTATACATCATTGTGCAAATAAATCATAAAAATGAATTTTGCGCATGATTTTATCATGAATCATACGAGTGAGGTAATACGAGTATGAGTACGAGTTATCTTCCATTTATTTTCATCATAGAATTGAAGATATCACAGTTGATAATGCGAAGATATTGTTGCGTGAATTAGAGAACCGTATCAATATTTTATAGCACAAAAGCGCTTCAATAACCAGGTGGAGTTCGTGGTTCTGAAAGAGATTTTTGTGAGTGTCATAAACGAATTATTCACATCATAGCTCATTTGTCAGACACAATGTCAGACACTTCAGTCAGCTATCAAAATAAGCAGACCTCAATGTATAACACACATAAAATGGCATTCATGCGATTTTTCTGCAATATTTCCTCTTCGATTTTGCTTAGAAGGATCGAATAAATACTCCGAAAGGTACGCTTTATTCACAATCATCAAAATATCCCTCTCTCACATCAAATCTTTTAATTTCACCTGGGCAGTGGCCACAGCCTCCTCTTTCTCCGTCAGGTCCAGGTGAACCGGGAGGTCCAACAAGTCCTGGTCTTCCTTCACTACCAGATTGTCCTGGCTCTCCAGGCGAACCTGCTGATCCGGGATACGACTGGCCGTCAGGTCCTGGAGCTCCTTTCGGACCAGGCTCTCCTGGTATTCCTTTTGGTCCTGGTGGACCCTGAGGTCCAGGAATAGGAACAAGTCGGCCAGACGCTCCAGCGGTTCCTCGGTGTCCCTCTCTTCCACGTCGCCCAGTGGGACCCGGTTGTCCAGGCATACCCTAAATTAAATGATCATAATTCGATAATTATAATAACTTTCGGTGAGAATAGTGTAGATTCGCATGTTTTTTTACAATAAATGATTCATTCTTCTGTTGATTGTTGTATTCAGGGAAGAGATCAATGAGCTTAATACAGTTTATAGGCGCTTGTAAAATAAATTTCTAAAAAAAAAGAAAAACATAATCCTAGCACCTTTTTCAATATTACAATTTATTTTCCTACATAAGCCCTGAGAAGATGTATGAAACTTACCGATTCTCCGCGAATCCCATCTTTTGGTAGATCCCCAGGCGATCCTCGAGGTCCTGGTGGTCCTTTTGGTCCCATGTTTCCAGCTGGTCCTGGTGGTCCAGTTGGGCAAATAATGCATGGTTCACTAGGTTCACTTGGAAGCACTTGTGCATCTTTTCCATCTTTACCATCTTTGCCATTTTCTCCATCGTGTCCATCAGAACCAGGCTCGCCGGGAGGTCCAGGTGGTCCTGCTGTTCCCTGAAGAATCATAATTTTATTTTTCTAACTTTCATCCTTCATCGAATACAACAGATTGACCCCGATCCTTGTAAACTCTACTACCAACAGCTCTCTCGCCACTGGAAAATTTGACTTCAAGATTTTGATCTAAATTCTTTCTAGTTTATTAATTCTTTTTTTTTTCAATCATTGCAATTCAGTGTTGTGATCTTTGACGTTAGATATTATGTCACCAATTACGCATTTGTCTCTGTTCCGACTGTCAACCATATGAAATTAAATATTCATTTCAATAGTGACAAATTTTAGTTTGCGTCTATCGAACGAAGTTGTTCTTTTTTGCTAAGTGAATTATGCAAGTTTGAAGGAGGAACTTTTCAAGTCCGATCATAGACTCTTTAGTTGAGTACTCATAATATGAGAGTTTTCCACTGAAGAAATAATTCACCTGATTGCATGTACAACACCCATCTGAATTAACCACAGACTCGTCAAATCTTGCCGCTCCAACTCCTCCGTAGTTTTCACTTGCTCCATCTCCAGAGCTTGCGTCAGGAACCCATTGACCGAATAGCCAACTTCTCTTGATGCGATTCGAGTGTCCCCTACCCATTTGAAGCGCAGTCATTTCCAACCACATATCTCGTGAACGCGTCTAAAATCATGCAACAATTACTTCCAACAAGCCAGTGCCTATCGAATTTTATGGCTCCTTCAAAATAGTATCCTATGCACCTGAGTTCTGAGTTGGACTTCTTTGAGAACACTTCCGAAAGTTCAAGGATTTAGAATGTAGAACAAGGACAACTGTTTTTAAAGGATGTACTGATTTTGAACCATGAGTTTTGAGTAATTCAATGCTTGTAAGCACATCAAAACGCAGTTACTAACAAAAAGGAAATGCGGATAAGCGCTTATAACAAGCAATTGCCTTTTCAATTTATTTTCAACTGAAAAACGTTCCCTTCCTTCCAAAAGACATTTACTCATTAAGATGAAATTTTCAATCAAAAGTTACTAACTGATATTTTTAAAGGTATTTGTTCGTTAAGATATTGACTCAAATGCTCATTTTCGAATTATACCCGTATGCAGATTCAGGTGATTCAATATAATCTCTATCACTCGAATGTTCATTGTCATTTTAACCACCATCATTCGATTAATATTCAGCGGATCGACGACAGATGAATAAATAATATGTCTACCTTAGCGTTAGGAATGATCATTTTAAGTTTATCAAATTGGTTACCTCGTTCTCTTATTTTAAAGCCGTCGAGCAGTTATTGTTATATCAATCGAATTTGAATGTAGTACGATAATTATAAGATAAAATGAGAATGAAATAGAAACCTTGCAGTAGTCAGCTTCAATGATAAGATGACTTTGAAATGACTGCACATAGCTGTATAACATCGGTAAGGTAACCACACTGGCAATAACAGCTGCAGTTGAAACGACAATTGCGATAAACGCAATTCGTCTCATATGACGATGTTGGTCGGTTTCTTTTTGATAATCCATTGGCACGATTTTCAATTGATAGTAGTGTTCAGTTCTACGTTGGTCTTCTACTCTTGAATCGTAAACGAATGAACAATGCGCATCTTTTAGCGACATAATTTGTTTATATAGAACGGTTTCTTTTAAATGCAGGCCATCATATTCGATTCATTTGCATATCTGATCAAATATCACCAATCACTGATCACGCCTCCAATGATATCTCTTCTGATTACGCATATGTGCGTATAATCATCTCAACCATTTGTCTTCGATTTTAAGCATTTTAATTGTGTTTAGTTGAACGAACTGTTCACTTTGAAAATATTCTCTCAGCAAGCATATTGGCTTTCAAGGAACATTAACAATATTTCACTTGTGCAGTTCTAACCAAGAGTGTCTGCATCAGATCATTCTGCGTTTGCGAGTTTCATAGCAACCTTTAAATAGCTACTAGCATCGTTACTGGATCCAAGCAAGTAATTGGTGATTAAGCCTGCAAAAAGTCTATCTATATCCTAGCATTTCACATCGTAAGCAAGTCATTACAAAGTTCTTCTGAAGCGAAAGTTCAGAGCAAGAAAAAAGTTGACTTCAAAGGATTGCTTCTCTCGCATGAAGGCCACCCAAGTAGCGCGCTTTTTTGCAATGTTGGTTTATCAATGAAAGTGGTTTTCGTTGATTTTAACGTCTCACCGTTTTCTACCTTGGTGACTTCAAATTTCATACAAGAATTTTGTTCTATCATGAACCGAACATCTCAGATTTCCGTTTAAGGAGTATTCATTTTTTCTGCTTTCATCCTACTACTGAGTTACTGAATATTAATTGATGTTTTGTGAGATGTCGTTGTTTTGTGAGATAAGGTGACACTACTATAAAAATCAATTAATTGAGGACCTTATTCCATCTCCTTTCTTATAAGAATCTTTCAAAAGGTCGCTGGTTGCAGGACAATTCATCGATCTAATCTAAAGTGTGATTTGACCATCCATTCGAACAACATGGTCTATTAAAGAAATTTCAGAGTAAATGCAACTATATGCCTGCTATATCAGAGTAACAACTCAAGTCCAAATATCTTAATGGTAAACGTATGCTTATGACCAGTCAGTGGTGCTTTGGTGATTCAGTTGACAAAAAAGTAAGTAAACTCTGATTTCATGATAATCGGATAATTGGTACATAGACATTTATCTAGGCATACGCACAGGAAATGAAGAAAAACATCTGATAAAGATAGTTGTATTATGATTTATTAATTCAGCACGAATGCGAGTTTTGGAATTGTTGCATAAAGTAAAGAAATTAATCTGATAATCCAACTGTGTTATCTATCATTTTAACCACAAACATTCTGCTTGACTATTGTTTGCATGTCGAAGTATATGAGATGATAATGAAAATGATAATAAAGATAGTGTAAAAGAAAAACTCCGTCGACCCAATCCATCTTTGAGATGACCCCATTTGGGAAACGTTTACTTTAGTTGTGCAACACATTTTCTAATACGTTATTCGTCATACAATCAAATTGTTGTGCATGAAAATGAATTGATCACATCAGCGTCTTCAAAATGTAATGAATGTTTCGAAAATATAACACATGATAGTGGGAGGAGAAGGAATTTAATGGTATATCTTTGTTCATTGCAGAAGTGTTTCTTGAAGAAATTCAGTTATATCACATCAAATCTAATTACAGCTGGTGATTGTTTCGCACTCAACACTGGATTTCTTTGATCAAAAAGACATTCACTGATCTGAACTGAATATGGCTCATCAAACGTAAATACCGAAAACCAACACAACTAGTTTTTCGAATGAATGCACAATTGCTCTATTTCAGTGAATCTCCGAAATAATCCATCTTAACGTTCGAAGTCTCTCTTAAGATTTATCAAGGTAGATACACTGGATGGGAGGATATACAAATACACCCTTAAATAATTTCAGTTCATTCACGTCAGTAAATTGCTTTACTTGAAAACAAATTCTACTCGAACGGCTTGAGGTTTCGGCAATCTTTTAAACGAGGATTTGACATGTAACCCTGCGCAGCGACTCTCCTGAAAAGTGTTAACACTCAAGTTGGAACGGATCGAATAGTGTTGAATAAATGAGCATCCAAAGCTTGAAACGGGAGTTTGAGGGCAAGCATATTCTTGAGTCGAGGTTTTACCTTAAGACTAAGCCGAGTCTAAGCGCAAACCAATAAAAGTTTTGATTTGTTGATACTTTTCAGCTAGTTTTATGTGTAACCTATCTCAGGCAATAAATTGAAAACAACGATTACACAACACCTCATTGAGTCATTTCAAACAAAAGTGTGCTCATTACGGAATATAAGCATCTAAGGAAGCGAAATAAAAGGTGCTAAACTATCGGAATCATATGTATAGATAATAGGTTAAAATGATTAGAGTTGCTCAAGATTGCTAATGATCGAGAGATGCACAACCTCACCACCAATTTTTTAATGCATTTACTACAATGATGACTTAAAGATGTGATGAATATTCGCATACTAGCAAAAGAAACTGACAACTATAACAAATAAAAAGACCTCAGAAAGGCATGTGTAAGAAGCGGTTATTTTGCCAGGATTACGATGCGTTCATGATAGTTGGTCAACAAAATATTCCTACTCAAAAACATAACATCTAATCTTTTTATTTGTTTTTCGTTTTTCCTATTGTTATGACATGAAATTGTGACCCACTTTTAAAATGGTTCTTCAATATCAATTTTTAGTGGTGATGTTCTCAGAGAAAAAGATGTGAATTCAATAAAGAAATGAATGCAGAATCACATAAGTCTGATTGGATGTCATCTATAACATGATACTGAGTTTAACCTTGTCACTCACTTGTGCTCCAGATTCTTGCTAAGCCCAAAAAAGACTCTTAAAAAGGGAAGGCATCATCACATACAAATTCATTCATCGATCCACAAACGTTTGCGTTGTTCTGAATCAAAATGTTTTTTTGTGATGAATGTAGTCATTACATTTTGTTAAGTGATTTCAGTCATGTTTAATGTCATATTTAATGCAGTTGTATCTAATAACTTCAGTTTTAAGCCTTCAAATGAATTTGATCTCCTTACGTATCAGTTATGCATGCCTTCATCCGCAATGTTAAATTTTTTGATTTCAGTTTATTGAATTAGCCGTTTCGAACAAAATGCAATAGACTTTCTTAGCTTGAACTGGTGAGAATGAACGTATTTCAATATTGTTTAATGAAGAGATTTCTGCTCATACAAAAATCTTACAGAGGAACAATGCTATGCAATGAAAGTGACGAACAACGACAAATGCGCCGTATTGCATTTGTTGCCATTGTTGTATCGACTGTAGCTGTCATTGCAAGTGTGCTAACACTACCAATGCTTTACGGATATGTGCAATCCTTAGAAAGTCACCTTATAGTTGAAGCTGATTACTGTAAGGTATCTTGACAAAATTCATTCATTTATTTAATCAACAATTACAACTCATCACAAGTTTATGCCTCTTTGTTACCACCAATATCAAATTCTTGATATCCTCCTTCCTGCACAGCTAACGATATCAGCGTAGGAAATCATGCAGCTTCATGAAATTCTAACTCTCTCATATTGCGTAGCGATTCCTAGGGAGGTGAACATGAAATGATCCCGAAAATACACTCCGCTTGATCGATTGAACATGCGTCCGATGATGGTTCGGAGTATCTGTTTGAAACAACCGACCGTAGAAATGTAGTAATTTTTCGGGATCAACAATTCTAACTAATTCAATTAGGCAGTTCCATAGCGATTGACATGTCAAACATTCCACAACCAATCAGTAGTAAGTGCCCGCTACCATAAATGCTTTGCATAATTTCACACAGCCGAGTAGGAATCCAATAAATAATCGTAACAAAGATAACACCTCGCCGATCGCCCCAAGCGATCGGCCAACCAAGCAGATAGTATTCAAATAGCAAAAAATAAACTGATGAATTTGATAAAACTGAGTGAATTTATGAGCGCATTTTTTCATCTATACGTTGTTCATGAGCGTGATTAAATTCTCAAGCAGCTCAAAGCAGGCTTACTGAAAGTTGAAATGCCCTATTAGCTAACTTTTCGAATGTGCGACGAACATCCCTCTTCTCCACTTATATCCTACAAATTAATTCATGCAATTTAAGGTGATATTCGCTTACATTTCGAATGAGTGATCACATATATTTTTGACTTCGGCTTTAACAAATGGCTCATATAGGAGAAAGTTTAAACAGTGTGAAATGAGCTGACAATTGGAATAAATGATGATGAAGAAAATGAATTGTCAGTAGCAGTGAATATCGATAACTGTATCGATGCGATTTGCAACAGTCATTTAAAACTCATTCGAAAACAAAAAATAAACGTGTTCAGTCGAGATGGCGTGATATGTGGTATGAAATGAGGGCACTTCAAGTTGGTGAAAGGCAACGATCAAGTCGCATGAAGCGAGGATGGCTTTTTGGACAATGGGTACCTGAAGGATCGCTGACAGATGGACGACGGGCAAGCAATGCATATGGCGGGTATGGCGCGTCTGGAACACAAAGTCCTATCATCAATAGTGATCCGAATTTACTGAATTTATGTTGCACATGTCATCAGGTACTTCTAACACTAGCGTATTCAACAACCTACTTGCGAATAGCTGACAAGACCGCATCGCCTAAACCCACAAAATACTTCGACGAAAAATTATCTTTGTGCTTTAAGACTTCGTATAGTATTTCGATTAGGTTCCCTTCAAGTCGATGGAGTATCGCTTGATGATTCAAGGTGGTATCTTCAAGTGTTTCATATAGGAACTGACTATAGGGACCCCCAGGACCGCCAGGACCAAGAGGTGATCCAGGAGAAGACGGAAAAGATGGACCTAGAGGAAGGGATGGCAAAAACGGTAAAGATGGAATTGTGGTACCGGCTGAGCAGAAAGAGCCATGCATAGTTTGTCCTCGAGGTCCACAAGGTCCTCCCGGACCAATTGGACCTAAGGGACCTCCTGGACCAAAAGGTTCACCGGGAGAAAATGGTGCAAATGGCGAAAAAGGCGAAGATGTAGGTTTCATCGTGTTGTTGCATGATGCTTAGCTTCTGATCACCTTTAATATGGAGTTATTTTTAAGTATAATTATTTCAGGGACTACCTGGTCAGCCGGGAATAATGGGTAGAGCAGGCCATCCAGGTCCTCCGGGTCCTCGTGGCATACCTGGTCGTGTTATATACATAGTAGGGCCACAAGGACCCACTGGACCTAAAGGTAAGAAAGGTGAACGCGGGCCACCTGGTCCTCCAGGTCCAGATGGCGTATCTTATGCAGGACCTCCTGGAGAACGCGGTGACCCTGGAAGAAATGGAATAGAGGGTCGTCCTGGTCCTCCTGGACCACCAGGACCAAAAGGTCCAGCTGGGGCAAAGGGAAGTTGTGATCACTGTCCTGGTAAGTGTGTTCATTGAATCAAATTAGTTACATCGCACCCAATAATGAGTGTTCAAAATGCACAGTTCAAAAAAATGTTCAACGGTGAAACATTGACCGAAAATTAGGATTTTGCAAACGGATTATTCACTCGCGAATTTTTAAGTGGGCCGTGACATTGTGCAATTCAATTATTAATTGATCTACCACCTTCACCTAATACACTTCTCAAAGAGAGGTGAAACAATGCAACATTTTTTGGGGGTTTTTTTTCCGAAATTTAGACCACTGTGGCTATTCGGTGAATAGAGAACACCTAGAAGAAAATATGATCGATATAACGAACTACTCATAGAATAATGAAATATTCAATGTTTCTGATGTTTTTCTTTTTTTAAAATTATACTATTCGAAAATTATAGAACCACGCACACCTCCTGGTTACTAATGAAGATGGTGATGTTCCAACTTCGAATAGCTGTTACTTGTTTGATGCGTCATCAATAAAATCATCTGAACAATAACAGGTCATTGCTTCGAAACTGAATCAACTCGTCTCATCCGAAAGACAACTCGTTTTCTGAGAGAAACATCACCATTTGGAACTGCTGAATGAACCTGTTTTATTGTACTCTAATATAAAAAGTTATGCAAAGATTTTATGTGAACACACCTGATCGCACATAAATGCTTCAAATAATGATTTGTTTATTTTTGTCTTTGTTTAATTCCGAACAAAAGCTTGCAACATCTCAACGTTATTTACCTGAAAAAAACAAAAATTTTCAACACTCATTGGAAAAATCTGGAAAAAATTTTTCTAATTCGTGGATAAATTGGCTGGCTCAGAGAGTGTACATCATTGGATGTACATTCATTGCATAATATGTATTCAGCTCGGCTTTTGATGCTCACTAATTCATCATTAGCTAGTAATGTTCGTCGAATTGATCATCAAAATGTTAATAGGTTTTGTTCCATTAAATTAAGAATTTAATAAGTTTTCGAGTGCTGCTGAATACCGATATTAATATTATAATTTATTGTCGGTGGATACAATTAATACAATATCAATAACACGTCAAGCCCCAAACTTGGGAAATACATTCAACGTATAATTCACGAAATAATCAAATCACAATTAGTGATCACTATTTAATATTTTAAATCAATGATTATGGCCCCAGTCCTGGGAAAGTTGATACATGACTGTTGAGCGATATGTACAAATTACGAATGACTGTTTGACTCGTTGACTGCCTTGTTTATGCGATAGCCTTCTTTTACACGCATTATTCTTCGCTGCCTTCTCCCATTCCTGAAAGATTATATTCGTAGTTAACATTCTTTGTAGCATTTTCTCAGCTTTCATACAGTGCCTTTGTTTTGGCTATTAGCATGCATTTCATCTAAATATGCAACAAATGTGTTGCATTTCCCACATGTGCATCTTTTATGTTTTGATTTACACATTTCATCCAAATGATATTTTGAGAATTCTGAAAGTGCAATGTTTACAATTATTAGCAAATTGGGTGATATAATTTGAATGAAACGAAACAAAACATAGAAAATGATTCGAAATGGCAACATATCTACAGGTTACATATCTCAAAATGCCTACATTGGGCGCGTACAGCCATGAAAGTATTAGCAAAACGAAAACATCGAAAAAATATTGAAAAATACGACGAAGAGATAGACGGTTACGTTCTAAAACGTGCTTCATGTTAGCTAGAATGAAAGCATCACTTTGAAATACCGCCAAAGATGTACGTTGCCCGAAGGGGACCGAACCAACAGCCGTCACAACAAAGGCGATCAGCAACGCCATTACGATATCGAAGCACACGTTGACGGATGAAAAGCACTTT